TTGCTTGAAATGCTTGAGTGTTAGGAAGATTTGGTCGCCAGCGATTGCCCAATAAGATGAATCAGTATCACCTTCAATGAAATGAAAACGATTAACATCCATGCATTTATACATAAAATCATAAATGAAAACCAAATACCAGTATTTAGCATTATCTAAAGTGAAGAATGCCTCTTGTAAACATGTTTCACATCTATAAAATCTATCTTTAAGCATCACTTGATATGTATCCTCACCTATTTCTCTTATGTTTTTAAACTTATTTGACATACATGCAACGCGTGACTTCTGTGCATTCATTATTTTAGTCTTTGCGTAATTTTGTGTATTCATTGCATCGTAACCATATGATCCATTAAGTGAAATCTTGCAAAATAAACTTTTTCCTTTATTTCCTTCTAATTCAGCCTTTTGTCTTTCGTTCATAAATTTGTTCGCAAATTCATTAAAACAAGTGTTTTTAGTAAATGTTAAAATTGATTGAATATCATCAATGATAAAATGAAATCTGTCTATTAGATACCAAAGATAATAAGAAGAAAATGGTTGATATTGGTTGTGTGTTGATGCTAACTGAGTTAATTTTCTCTGTTTCTGGTCAACTGGTAGATTGTTTGATTTCATGGAATTATACATAAAACTGCCAATTGTTTTTTCATCTGTGATAATATCTAAGTTTCTTATTATCGGTAAAAAGTTTATGTAATCATTAATGTATTTTTCATCAATGTGACCCTTTACTTCAGCCACGAATAAAGTATTTTTCTTCTTAATTATTCCCAGTGCTTTTGCTTTCTTTGTTGCTGTATCACAAATGATAACACCATTCAATCTTCCCGGCATATACATTTTATGGTCAGTATATTGAATGAAATCATGAGGATTAGATGAAAATGATGAAGGATATAATGAATTAAAATCAACACCAACGAAATGAGTCATAATGTTGGTGGTGTCCTCATTTGATACAGTTTTAGTTTCTGGATTATATGAAAGTTTATTAATGTGCGTGATTCCTTTAAGATTTACTCTATGTTGAACATTTGATAGACCACCAGTAATTCCATTACGGAGAATGTGATAAGCTTCAACTGAATCTAAAGTCATTGGTAAATTATTTTTTAATGCGTAATTTCTTAAATTGATTCTTAAACGTTGAACATCTTCATCTTTATTTGATTTTACGACATTGCAATAACAACACATTAACTGACAATTTTCTTTGGTATGTGGTTTTTCATTATCGATTCTATCCAATGTTGGTTTATTTGCATATGTAAACGTTTACCACACATTTTGCATTTAGATGAAAGGATTAAATCGTGATAGTATTGAAAATCATCCATTGAAACATTATTTTTAGTATCCCTTTCTGCTTTTTATCTTGTTTCCTTATATGATTCAATTTTATATTTCCAATACTTTTTCGTTAATTCAAAACTTGATTCTATCTCTTCCTCAGGATATTTTTCATTAGGATTAAAGTCTTTATATGCTAAAGCGTAACGAATCATTGAAGCATTCGATGATAAAGAAAGATTATGAAGCATATCAATTTTATAAACAAATGTTTCTTCAATAATTTTATCAATTGGGTCAATCATAATTTCAACATCTTTATTGCAATAATGAATAAAATATTCTAATCTATTCTTAAAGTTTTTAGCATCATTGAGATATATTTGATAATCACTATCTGATATAGTTTCTTGAGTTAATGCTGAATAAAATGAATCTTTCGTGAATGGTTCCACTTTATATAATTCTTCTTCGTAATTTTCCCACGTGATGAATTGATAAGGGAAAAAGGATTTAACACGTGTTTTATTATTTCCGAAATCTTGAGTGAATTGGTCTAATGTCCCACCCGCTATATAATTTCTGATGTCAATAAATCTCAATTCATATGGAACGTTTGTTTTCTTTACAATGATTTGCTTAAATTGAGAAGAAGAACCCAGCATTGATTTTATCTTCCATTTTGCAGTGTTTAAATCACGAAGAATTAAATTTAAATCAAACTTTCCCGAATTAAAACCAATGATATTCACTTTATTAAATTCTTCATCTAAAAGCTCTTTAAATGCTTCCTTCTGTTTTTCATTTAATGTAGACAAAGTCCCCGCCGTTTGGTCCGTTTGCGACTTCATTAATTCTTCATATTGTTCAATATTTGATTTAGCAACTAATGAACAGGTTGAAAATAAAAACTCAATCCAATCAGAAATAAAAGAATCACTCGAAGTTAAGCAAAAATTCCTCGTATATGTTTTATCGTTTAATTTAACCGTTGATGATACCATGAATGGTTTTAAGTAAGCGTTTAAAGTTGCACACTCAGAAAGTTGTAATTCTTCTTTAGTCTCTAATGTTTCGAAGTCAAAAGTAATATAATATCTTGTTGGTTTATAATATTCCTGCAAATTATGTGCTAATAGCCATTGATATATCTTCTGTTTCGTAATATGTGGTGCATATGGTTGTTGTGTGTTTTGCAATTGAACGTCTTGAATTAATCTTCCATTATTTTCTTTACATTTCTCACAATGTTTTAAAAATCTTCTTTGGTTTTTCCTTTCTGGATCATCACGGATAGAATAAACTTCTTCTTTACAATATGGACAAACTCTATAGCCGGTGAGTGCTTCAACGTCTGTTATTCTGTCAGCGTGAAGTTTTCCACATGGACTCTGTGTTAATAAAATATTTATTGTTTCAAATTCTGGATCTATCATTATTGAATCCACTAATGGAAAGTCTACCTTGTTAATGTCTACGTCTTCTGGTTGAGGATCACAATAATAGAAATCAATATTAACATTTAACATTCTTGCTAACCTCTCACTTTCTGATGAAATGTCAAATCCTTCATATACATCTATGGCTTCATTTAAATAACTTCTACGAGTTTTAGGATTAACACCATCAGGAATGTTATAGAAGCGTTTAAATAACCTTCTACCTTCGGCTCTTATTTGATTATCATTCATTTTAGCTGTTCCATTTTTGTTCATTTATGTAAGAATAAAAATTAAAAAATAAAAATAAAGTTTATTTTTTTTAAAGTCCGAGACTCAGAGAGTCCAGGGCTAAAGTCCATAAAATGAATTAAGAACACATAAATTTTTATCATCTGCGACGTGACGAATACATTTTAATTTACTCAAGAATGTGTACCCTGATACATTAAATCTAATTCCTGTCTTATTTAATTTCACAACTTTGAAAAGGAATGTATGAATAGCTATAAAATGATGAGATGATGTTTTATGGGTTGCTTCCATTTTTTCTGAAATAAATGAATAAATATAATGCTTATACGTTTTCATATCTTTTATATTCTTAATAACGAATGGTATAGACCTTTCAACTTCGTCTTCCTTCGGTGCTGTTCTTTCATATGAAACATTATTGGTATCTTCAATAATGAAACCACAATCACATAAAATTTTATAGGTTCCAATTGTTTCTTTTGATATTTTATCTAACAAATCAAAAACTTTATCAACACCTGTACATTTATTTAAATAATAATTTGTGTAAATATCATGGTCTTCTTTCTTAATCGTATTAGTTGCATATGTTACATTTTTCAGTGCTTTTTTGAATTTTTCAGAATCAAGAGGAGGTGAAAGTAATATACATGAATAATCTCCATCGTCAATAAATTGTAACTTATGTTTATGAATAAATTTTGTGCCTTCTTCTGAAAGTGTTTCATCTATTTCGCCATCTAATAAATTTTTAAGTAATTCCAAAAAGTAATTTTTATATCTTTCTTCATGAGATTTCTGAACTGCTGATTCTGAAGCTGGGATATTCATTAAACCCTCTACTTCATTTTCAACTTCTCTTAATTCCTTAATTTTTTCATCTATTTCATCTCTTATTTTTTCCAATTTCTCAATCTCATCGTTATAATATTCATCTTGTTTAATTTTTTCTTCAAAATATTCAGGAGGTGTTTCAAGGCTCTCTGGACCATAAAGAGGAATATTTTTCCTGTTTTTCAACTTTTTTGGGATATAAAATCTCATTATAGCCTTTTTAGTAATTGGTCCGTTATATTTAAATTCATTCAACAATCTGGAAAACTCTTTCACATTCTGCATATATGTTGGATAAAACCGTCTCCAAATTTTCTAAAATATTTTCTAATTCTGAATTAGTGAACTTTAAAGATTTCAATGAATTAGTTGTTATACTCATTTATCATTAAATAAAAAAAATAAAAAAATAAACATAACTTAGTTTTAATTTTACGTAAGAAGTCAATTTTAAAATCTTGATTTATTCAAAAACGTAAGAATAAAAACTGTAAGAATCATACATTTTTTACTTCATATGTTAGAAAAAATGATACAAAATCGTTCAATATTGTATGAATTCTTACGTTTACAAAAAAAGTCACACAACCCATACACATATACTACTATTAAATATATAGATACAGTGAAATAAGATAGCATTGCAAAAATGAAATCACAGAGTATGGTTTTCACATTTATTCATGTATTAATTACAATCTCCAATATTTGATGCTATTTGATTACTTGAATGTATTTTATCCTATAAAATGTTAATATAGGTTCAACCATGGGTGTGCCATAATAGACAGAATAGAATATCATTTTCATATAACACAAGTAGAATTAATTATATTATAAATACTACTCTTGATCTAGTGCAAAGCTGTGTAGGAAAAATAAGTTAATAAAATCATGAGCTTTAGTCTAATGAAATGTTTAAACAAGATGCCGATATATGTTGTAATTATTCTAGCACCAAAATGATAGGATTCAACATAAAGATATCATATGGCTAAATGCTCATAAAAAATGCAAATCGTTGTATGGGTTCTGAAGTCAATATAATCATCTTATTAATATATTTTCGATTGCAATTTGTTCTTCAAAATAATCTAATCTAATATGATAAATTCACCCTTTTTTGCAGAAATCAATGAAAACACTATCTGGAATGTTTGAAAATTGAAATTACTAATGAGAATCAAAACTCATTGCCAATAGAAAATCATCCTCAATTATTCCATCAAATATAGAAGCGAATTCTTTATCTTGTCCAATTTCAGCAATACCATCATTTTGTTTCAAAGGTTGATTCTCATTTGATTCTGTAGCTATTGAAGGAGGGTGTTTTCCAATTACTGCCCATCTGTTCTTGCAGTTAACGTTTGTTCTTCCTGAGAAGAACTTGGCAATTCGGCTCCACTTTGGCCCATATTGTCTGTAAAGATTAATTAGCAATTTATCTTCCTCCTCATTCCAAGCGTTTTTGTTTAGACCTGGTTTCAAGTAATTTCTCCATCGTTCACTCAACGAATTTTGATTTCGGTGCAGAATTTTTGCAAGTTCTGGCCAATTGCCACCTTTGTTCTTAGCAGCATGGTCAATGATTGCTTGATCTTCCTCTTTTGTAAATTTACCTCTCCTAAGCATCAACGAAGTGTATTTGATATAATAAAATATTGAATTTAATGAAAAATTTTTCTATTCAAAAAAATTGAAGAAAAAAGTTTCCTACTAAAATTTTTCATTATCGAATAAAATTCATCATTAATAATAAGAAATTAAATATTGAATTCAAAAATATTTCTGAGATAAATTTTCATTATAATATGTTCATGCATTTTTGTAACATATTCATTGTTGAATAGAATTTGGCAAAAAAATTAGGTTTATGGATAATCATTAATGAATGGATATTCCATCAAATTCGTTATCTCAAATCAGTCATTCTAAATTTAGATATTGTATTTTTTGGAGCCATAACCATGAAAATGAGTTCATAATTCCTTATTTGATTTTTTTATTCATCGATAAAGACTTCGCTTTGAGGCATTTTTAAATACTATATATTATAAGGAGAGATAATGTACCGGTAATTCGGATTGAAAACCTCGTATTCGCCAAGATATGACCTTCCAAAGTTGAAAATTTTGAGAGGAGATAGGTGGTCGGTCTGAACCCTGAATGATTTTTCCTTGATTGAAAAATGTGATAATATACTTATAATAATATGTGCCTAATCAAAGCAGTAAAAAAAGCAATTTTCAAAATACGTTATTTCAACTTGAAAGAAAAAATTGAAGGAATTAAAATTCACATGTACTGAGGGCCCATCAAATTAAAATTTTTATACGTAAAGAAAAAATATTTTTAATAAAATAATGAAACCTTTTAAACCCTCCCCTTTTGGCCAGAAATATGCTATAGAAGATAATCCGTTTCTTATGGATGATATATCAGGGCAAGAGAATTCTATAGTCAGCGCTATCCAAAACCCTACAAATTGTATGATTTATGCAGATGCAGGCGTACCAAGTATTCACATACCAGACAAGACCATTCCTAAAGTAATACAGTTAGTTGGAAAAGGATTAAATATAATACCAATCATTCCCACTGGAGTTAAAGCATTATTTATTTCAAAGAATTCAATCAAGAATTTAGTTCCAATCGAACAGCATCCTACACTTGAAATTATTGATGCGTCATATAATATTATGGAAGTTGCTCAAATTGATCCACCAATAAATCTTAAAGCTTTGATATTAGCATCAAATGCAATAACAGAACTTGCTTCAACTTGCATATTATCTAATTTGCAGATATTAAATCTCAGTCAAAACAAACTTACAGAATTTAACACAGAAATTTGTCCAAATCTTGTTACTTTAAACTTATCTTTCAACCAGCTTAGAGAATTCACTATTTCTTCCAAATCTCTTGTCGAAATTTCTCTTCAAAATAACGAATTGACAGAATTAAATGTTTATGAAGCTGATAACCTTTCCAGACTAGATGTTTCTAATAATCATTTTGATTCTGTACAATTTGTCGAAAAAATACCAAAACTACAGCATTTTTCTGCAAGCGGAAACAATCTTGAACAATTTTGGGAATCTTACGTTGTTTCTGTTGTTAAAACAATTGTTTCTATAAACAAACGTGTTTTAACTGAAGGAGAGAAGGCAATTCACAACGATCGTGTTGCTAGAGCCAATAAACAACAACAATTTGTTCCATACGCATTAATTTCAGAAATTCGTACCCAATTCAAGCATGTTAAATCCACAACAGTACAACAAGAAGAAACTCCACAGGATATCGTGTCTATTTGGCTTGCAAGATCAAGAGAAAAAAATCAAAGATACAGAACTGTCGAATATCAGTCACGAACCATCAAAACATACGCAAACATAGATAAAAATAGAATACTAACTGTTTACGGACCTCTATCTTCAAATGAATATTCAAATAAACCGTTCCGAGGAATAACCTTAATTTATACTCCACTTCAACACGGTTCTGCCAATTTGAACAACATTGTAGAGCTTGCCAAGCAGCAGCCTGTTATGCTAACGCTCAACCACAATATGCTAAATACGTTCAAGGACCTTTTATTCCTTAGATTCTTTGATACAGTTACAATCCTTAGTATTGATGGTAACTTGGCTGCGAAAATGAAACTGTTTAGACCTTTTGTTGCCTATATAATGCCTTCTATCAACGTTATTAATGGCGTTGAAGTAACTAATTTGGAAAGAGAATCTGGACAACAGCATTTCGCTAATGTTCTTGCTGTAGCTCTTGGACTTGTCCAAGAAGAGTAATATTATTGAATAATAATGTTTGTTTTTTAAAATTTTGTTTAATAAATTTATTTGTTGATATTATTATAGTCTAGTCTACAAAATCTAATATAAATTCAAGACATATTTGCATAGTGTAAGTCTTAATTTAAATAATTTATCAAAATATTTTTCGTTTTTAATATCTATATCTATGGAATAATATATTGATGGAGGTGTAGATATAATATTGCTTATGAGATTTACTTCACTCATATGCATCAAAACAATTTTGGAGATAGAAAGATGAATAAAATGTGTTTCTAGTGTGTTTATATGGTAGCATTAAGTTATGTGCTCATGTTTATGATAGTACAACTGAAAATATTGATGTGATTGGATGGAGAAAGTCCAAAATGAGAGATTTTATAATAAAAAGTGACACTTTATTATGACTCTTGGAAAAGTAATTACAGCAAATGGAATGAGCGAGATACTCGAATCAAAAAAAGATGTAGTACCTAATCTTTTCTTCTATGATAATGTTTATTATGCAATTCTCGAAGATAAACTTTATGCACTCGATTCTTATCTTCATTTTTGGCAAGAATTACAATTAAATATGATATTCTATGACGGCATGTCTGTTACAGTAACTCCAAAAGGTGTCGTGTTTTTTGGAGGTCAACAAAACAGAAAATACACAAATACAATGTATTTATTCACGAATCCTACAGTTATTCCGATTATTAACGATATGCCACCAAGAGCTTACCATTCATCATGCTGGATTGAACATTTAGAGAGTATTTGCATCGCATGCGGAACTGCTGAAGAACCTCTCAACCAAGTCTGCATTTTCAACATGAATACATGGGCAACAACATTTGTCGTTCCTCTCAACCCTCTCGTTTCGATTAACTCATCTTGCTGCCACGTAACAGGAGATCAAGTCGGAATTATCGGCAATTTTAATTCGCTCGAATCGCAAGACACAAATCTCATATTACTCAATATAAGAGATGGCCGCATGAATACAATCGAATCAAGTAGCGCACAAAAGAATTTTACTGCTATTAAGACATTTGTCATGGATAACAGATTTTTCGCTGTCATGGCACATAATGTATGGGTATACGACTTCGCTCATGGCCAATGGTTGCTCTTTGACGTACAAAAACTGTGGAAAGAAGCAGCTTACATTTTGGACAGCGAAGGAGAAAGTTTGACGTTGTTTACATCTGATTTAAGCAGATACGTTAATGTTACATTCAAAACAATGGTCAGATTCGTAGAAGATTTAATTGATGACAATATTAACACGAATCTCTTCGAAGTTGACTCATTAAAGATCTCCAACAGAGTTGATTCCATTTTTAAGTCAGTTCATACCAATGCACATAGAGTTGTCGCTCAAATGAAACAAAAAGGAATGAAAATACCTGCTGCAGACAGAATTTTGAGATTAATGGAAGAGCACAGGCTTCTACAGATGGCTGCCTTCCGTTTGGATGACGCTAGAACCCGTTTGGGCATGGTTCGACCTCAAGAATCAAATTCAGAAAATAATGCATACGATGTCGAAAAGCAAATGGCCGATATCGAACAGAAACTGAAGAAATACAGAGCAGACAAGCTGGCAATGCATAAATCCCATGATTCTGAGCTTGTTAATATTCGTCAGGCAATTCAGAAGATTGACAGACAGGTTCCTGGCCCAATATTACCAGGACAAAATCCTCTGGATGTTGCCGAAGCCTTGGCCGATTCTATAAAGAAACAAAAAATGGAATATGAGAAATTGAAACAAAAATGCGAGAAAGACAGGAAGCAACATGTGTCAGCCGATTCTTTCTTCTATGGTATATACGAACTTGACAAACTCGATATGGAAGTCTACGAAACAGATAAGAAATTACTTGAAGCTCAAAAAGCGTTCACAGAAGCAGCCGCAAGCTCTTCAAATAAGTGGCTGTCGACGTTAGATTCGTTTGCCGATAGAAATGGACAAAAGCAATTTGCTAAATCTTCTGCAATTGAGAGATGGATTACAACTGAAAGAGAGCACTACGATATATTGCTTTCTAATTTAAGGGCTGCAACAAGTTTCCTCAAAGCTTTCCCTGATTCTCCAAAAGCTCTGAGCGATGTTCAAGATGCCGCTAACAAAATAAGCTGCTGGATCCAAAGATTAAATTCTTCTGCTCCAAGTGAAGCAAGCCTTATCGAAGAGATCTATATGAACATCTCTTGGGCATCATCTGTATTTTAATTTTATTTTTATCTTTTTATCTATTTGTTTTAAATGTATTCTTCGTTTTTATCTTGTGTTTTTTAAGAGAATAATTATCTAACAATGTTAAATGCTAATGCAAGATATGAGATCAATTAGGAAATATGAACAAATTTGGTCAAAAGAAATATAAGTAATTCACTTCTATCATAAGGATCCATATGTATTCATTCTCGGTCTTGGCAGAGCTCACAAAATATGTGATGGTTTAATTTTCAAATTCCAAGTCATATCAAAGGAATTATAGGAAACATCTTATTGCAATCTGTACTCATATGGGCTCATCTATATAATTAACAAACTTATACTGATTGAAAGTAAATCTATCACCATGTAAAAAGGAAATTTATAGACCGCAAAAAATAAGTAAATTTATATTTCCAAAAACGAAATAAACACATAATTTTTTTATTAAGAAATTACTTTGTTCCGAGTAAATATTGGAATGCATCAATAAGATCGTTTAGATCAGCTTGATTTTCGCAAACAAATACGTCTAATCTCAGAACAGGGTTTGAATCCTCGGTTTCAAGACGTATTTGTGATCTAAACACACTTCCTGAAGTAAAGTTAAATGAATAAAGATTTTCTCTTATTTTCCTGCATTTGATTGATTTCATCGATGCGTATTGAAGAATTCTACTCGCAGTTTTCTCGAGATCATTCTTAAGCATAATAGACTTTGTTACAATTGTCGAAGTAACGAAAGGATGCTCCATAACATCTTCTATTGTCATTCTATCTTTTGGATTCAATTGGAGCATGTGTCTCAGTAAACTTGTCACTGTTGGTGAAAAATATGATGGAAGTTTGACTTCTTTCATTTCTTTTATCTTTTCTTGAATTTCTTCAACTGATTGGCCATTTATTGGACAGTCTCCGAGTAGAAGAGCATAAAGAGTCATTCCTAAACTCCAAATATCAGCTGCAAATGGATCAAACGGTCCTTTGAAGACTTCTGGAGCAGCATAATTCACTGAACCTGGTAATTCTTTTGTTAATTCGTTTGGTTCATATAAACCGGCTGATGTGAGTACTCCTATCTTAAGTATACCTGTTTGAGTTAAGAAAAATGAGTTTGGCTGTATATCTAAAATTGCGACGTGTTTTTTATGTAAATGATGTACAATAATAGCCATTTCAGCAAATATTTGTCTTACTTGAGTTTCGAATAGAGTTTCTCCGTTAGTAAATAGTTGCATGAGAGATTTATATTTATAATCGAAAACAATTAGCTGTAATTCTTCATCTGTTATAACTTCTATTACGTTTTGCATCATAGGAAATCCGAATGAAGCTTGTATATCTAATATTTTATGCAATTTCTGGATATATGGTGAATACAATAATTTTTTCCGATGAATTAAGAATCCTGTATACTTCATTTTTGTTCTAATATCTTCCAGAAGATAAGATACATAAAAATCTCCTTCCTCTGCAGATGTTTCTAACAAATGATAGTTACCGATTTGATCAACACTCATATTTTATGTTCCGAAATCAAACGTAATTAAATATATATGAAAATGTCTTGTTAGAATCCCTTTCATTAAAGATATTAAGAGAAGATTACCTAAACAAATTGTTTATTAATTTTAAATATAAGGAGTTCGAGAACAGTAATGCAAAAAAAGTTTTTATTTGCGATATAGTATATTATTAAAGATTGTTTAAAATGTATAAGAAAAAAATATAAAAATTAATAACTATTTTTAATATGAAAGTATACTGAAAAGATGTTTAAATAAGAGTGTGATTGTAGCTGAGAACCTCAACATCATCAGATTGTCCAATTTGATAGAGATAAACTGTCATTTGGTCCTTCTTAACATCAAGAACCATAAATGATGGTGTAGAAGTTGTTGCAGTATTAGAATAAGCGCCTGTGAGGCTTCCTGGGTTGAGGAATAATATATTTTCATAAGTTGAAACGGAAGCTACGTGAGTCTGTCCACTAACTAATATATCAACATTCATTTCTCTTCCAACAGCGCCGAGTCTTTCTGGATCGCCCCATGGAAGAACTTGGTGGCCATGAATTACGCCAATCTTAAAACTGCCAGCACTTAATGTTGCTCTTTCTGAAACATCTGTCATTTTTTCATCATAATCACCATAAACGACTGTTACATCTTTGCAAAGTGACTTAATCCAGGCCATTTGATCAGGTGTTGTGAGATTTCCGACGCAGATAACTTTATCAAGTTTGCCAGGAACAATCAACTTAAGGAATTGTTCTGGGATTTTAAGTTTTCTCTGTGGAATGTGAAGGTCACCAATAACAAGAATCAGCATTATTCAATTGCGGTTTTTGTAAAGTCGCTTCATCTTGGGAATATCCAACTTATTCAGTTATATAAAACAATTATCTGTTTTGAAACTTCTGTATAGGTAAAAGATTGGACTCTGAATCTATATTTTATCCAGATTTATTTCAATTGGTGACATAATTAATAAGAATTCTCATTGTTACATGGCTAAAATCATCTCAAAGCTGAAGGGTATTATAGTTATTTAATACTCGCCAGAATTATGAAGCTAAACTTTCGTTGATCACATTTCAAGAACATAACTATGATTTCAAATGTTGTGAACGAAAAAACAATTGGTTTTAGATAAATGCTTATGGAATTAATGCTGTGTAGCTTTCAGCATTATGGTTGCAAATTGAAAGATGTAATTTCAACAAAATCAAAGAAAATAAATGAGAAAAGCACGTAACTCAAACTAAACTACTTGTTTACTAGTAAATTTATATGTTTAATTTTTTGAAAAATATGCACGTTTAGAAATAAAATAATGGATTTTGATGCTTATTTTCAAGCCACTGAAGAGGCTTTCGCTCAAGAAAAGGAAGACATGCTTATGAAGTTAGAGAAAAAGCATGAGTATTGGAAAAATGCTTCAGAACTTGATCAAAAGCTGATAGATAGATGCAAAGAAATGTTATATCTAAAAAGAATGGTTGGAAAAGGCCATCTTCAAATATTAAGAACAAAAGAAGAATGTTTACATATGCAACTTAAAAACTCGCAGTTAAGATTCCATATTAGACAATTACAAAAAGAAATAGATAGATTAATTCCATTTTCTCATACACAAGTACCAAGTACTGAATACATTATGTCACTTGATCGTGCTGTTTTCAAAGCACCACCTCATGCTAAAGAAACTGAAGCTGATGAAGAACATATGAAAGATATACAACGTATACACAAGCTTTGGGAAAATCTCTGTGATCAGCAAGCCAAAGTTTTTGCTGAAGAAACCCTTCATCAGCAAGAAGATTCTGAGCAATGGGATAAATTTACAGAAAGCGTTCAAATGCAAAACGCTAATGCTCATAAGATGATTGATAAGACTCTTGCTGATATTCTTGGCAGGCACTTATCTCTCAAATCATCAAATGAAGATATGGTTAAATCAGGTGAAGAACGTGCCAATTCCTTAGAAAGGAAACTCAATCGTCTAAAGAAGCGTGTTGAGAAGACAATGACATCACTCAATAACAAGAAAGGACAAGATAAGATCCTAGCCCAACGTGAGGCAAATAAGTTAACGAAAGAACTCAAGAGAAGAGTCCAATTCATGGAGAATGTCAATCAACAGATGGCTGATGAAATTCAAGAAGATATTGGTGAGCTTCAAGATGATGAAGATGACTTGCTTGATGATATTGATGAACTCAACAAGAAGATATCAACTTACAATTTGAAGAATAAAGAACTCAACGATGAAGGTAAGCAAAAACTCGAGAATTTCCAGGCACAACTCAATGCTTTGATATCTGCAGCTGCTGCTATTAAAGACACTCCATTACAAGAACAGATAAATATTATTGGTGCTGTTTCGACAGCTGTTGGAGCACACGGAAAAGCTGCAACTGCTGCAGAGAGAATCAAGCATAAAGTTGCTTATCTTAACAAGCGTCTGGAGAACCAGATGGCAGACTTACAGTTGATTTGATTTTGTGTTTATATTTGTTTCCATTTGTATTTATTAAAGACTGAATTTTGTATTTTATTTCCGTCAAATCAGAGTGTCAGAAACGGTTTTTTGGATCAATTTTATTTTATGACTAAAGAACACTGCGAGTAAGCAAGATATAAGCAGTGGTGGATGAATACTCCCTACTTTATTATTAAATTTGAAATTATTGAGATGGTATATTTCGAAATGATTTAAAAGTTGCTAAATGGATATTTCGATATTGAAATTACTCTACAAGTTTTAGTGCAAGCATTATAATAACAGAATGCTTCAATTCAGAGCAAAAAAATCTGAAATGTTGAATAGATCTATTTAATAATTACAATCCAATATTAAAATAACAAATTAGAAATCCCAGAAAGAGTCATCCTGCTTAGTCTCAGCTAATTCAAAATCGCATTGATTCGAAGGAGATAATGGATAACTATCAACTTCGCCAATGTGACATTCAAAGTCATCAGCAGCTAGTATAGTATCTGTTTCGTTAGACATTTCGCTTAAGCCATTTGAGAAGATATTCGGTTCAGAGAATGGAATCCGATTATCTTGGCTTCCAGACGTCTGCCAGTTAATTTCCTGAGGTACAGTCTGTTGTGTTTGATAGATCTGTGGAACGGGGATGTTAGGATTCAGGGCTTGGCCTGCTGTCATTCTCGGGAGCATCATCTGTGCGGCAAACATTGCGGGAATACGATGCCTGCTGAGCCAGGACCATCTGTTTTTAATTGCATTTGGCGATCTTCCAGGTAAGAATTTAGCTATCTTAGCCCAAAAATTGCCATTAATCTGTTGTTGTTTTAGTAAAATTTGATCTTCTTGTGGGGTCCAGTTATCTTTGTTTAGATCTGGACAAAGCTGATTCGTCCATCTTTCTCTACATTGCTTTCCTGTCCTTCCAGGAACTTCTTTGGCAACCAAAGACCAATTACTCATTCCATTACGTTTAACGCTGTCGATTAATAGTTTATCCTCGTCCGGAGTCCATTTTGCTTTTTTGAATGAAGGTTCTTTTGGAATTGTTACGTGCTGTTTCGGGGTCGGAGAAATACCAAATTCTGGGTTACTCTGTGTGTCCTCGAAAGGGCTGAAAAAATCTGCATTACTTTCACTCATTTTTTAAAAAAATTCTCCGTCTTCGATCACAAACCGTTTTTTGCCATTGAAATATTAATATTATCCTGTGTTAATGAGTAAGGAGAATTTCATAAATAATTTCGAAATCTAAGCATTGAAAAGTAATTCGAATATTCAGAAAATAGAAAAGGTGTCGAATTTTAATTCAAAATTAGCGGTTTTGATTTTAGATAAATTTAAATTTCCATATTTTGATTAGTAATTAATTAGTTAAAATAAAATATCAGAAAAGTGTCATCACGCCGATAAATATCATTTGTAAATTTCAGAAAAAAAAACGAGCATTGATTCCAAATTTTGAAAAACTGCATCATTTGATCCTCATTTTTAAAAATTCCTAGTTGTTTGAGTGCAACGATCCTCTTAAATCGGTAACTCGTGAAGGTGAAGATCTTTCGATTTGAAAAAATTTTTTACATAACTCAAGCAAAGAGTTATCACGGAATGGCAGCTGAGTTTATCAACACTAAAATGCTGAAAAAATCCTAATGTAGAATGAATAAAAGTGACAAATTTTGGAAGAATTTCTCTCAAACGCACTCAGTTCAAATCAAGAACTTGTAACGCAAGCAAGTGCTTACTTTGAAGAGAGTATTCGCAATGATCCTCATTCATTTTTTGTTCAATTATTAGAATTTTTATATGAAGAACACGCAGAAAGTCTGAACAATATAGCCATAATAATGATGTCAAAGTTGTTTAATCCCTCTATAGTTAATAATATTGACCAAATTCAACAACTTTGGAAATTAATATCTCAAGAAAATAAAAATAAGTTAGTGCAATTGTGTTTGAATGCAATAGGTAGTGATAATCAGTCCTATTTTAATCAATCAACAATGATAATTGCAAGAATAATAGAATTAGAAACAGATTTTATTAATCCAATCATAAACAATTTATATGAACTAGTAACAAGCAATGAAATAGACAATGATATGAAGAGAAAATCCGTTCAGTGCTTCCAAAATATTTTGCAATCAAAAGCAAATATTGAATTCACGTTAATTTCACAGTTTTATGCTCTTCTCATGGATTTTATAATGATAGATGATTTTGATATCAATGATATTGTTCATTTCATTCAAGTAATTAACTCTATCTATCAAAGCCAGAAAGATCAAACAATTTTTAAAGATGATTTTCCAAAATTTCTTGAATGCACACACAAATGGATAACTAAAGCAGCAGAAATTAGTGAAAGAGATATAATAATAGAGATTCTCAAGGTAGATATAGATATTTTAAATAGAACAATTGATTCGGATGTTTTTCCTGAAAATTCTTTCCAAACATTATTCACTTTGTTATTACAGACAGATAATGAGATGATTTTCACTGAAACATTGAATGCAATTAATTATTCTTTAGAAAATTTTATGAAAATGTTAAAAGAAAAGAATCAAATAGACACATATAATAAATTTGTGAACATCAGATTTGCTAGATCATCTAATCTCCTCAAAAAGTTCTTGATTCCTGTGGAAGAAATGCCAAATTATTCATTTTTTGTTGATTTTGGAAATTTTGCCTTTGATTTATTGTTTCAAGTCCTTTCTATTGTTGAAAATACTGATAGAATTGTTGATGACGATAATTTACCAAAAAATTATTTATCAATGTCAATTCTTGAAAAATTTGCAAAATTGGATATGTCAATAGCTGAAAAACTTATTAGTTTACTTATTCTTTATGATCATATCAATGATGAGAGTGATTTTCTTAGAAATTTGTCAATAATTAAAATTTTATCTAATGTGAAAGTTTACAAATCACTTATTGCACCTGTTATTAATGAAAATGTAATGTTTCTATTAAGTTGTGCACAGAGTTCAACGATTTATATTAGAGAATTAGCTTTAATTTCATTATCTCAAATTCATTTAAGGAGAAGTTTAATTAATCTTCAAACATTATTAGAATTAGTACAACAGCAAGCAGATTACCATCCAAAGTTTATTTGCCTAGCGATTTGGACTTTAATTCACTTTGTCTGTTTTTCTGACGGATCTGGTAATGAAAAATATCGTCTTGATGAAGAAGATCAACAAAATATTATGCAGTTATATGATTTTATTCAATCATCAAAATCAAATGAAGTAAAATCAATGGGAATTGAACTTCTGGCAAGTGTATGCAACAGAATGCATGAGAGTTATATAGTGAATGTCCTAGAAAACACTTGTAATTCGTTGAAATCTTATATGAATCCAAATATAGAATTATATCAAGAAGAAATTGAAGAAAAGAACTACCATTTCTCCGTATTGAAGGCTATTGTATCGAATTGGTATCAAATATATACTAGTCCTGAATATTTGTGGAATTTTGTAAATGAAATGGCTTTGTTTAGAGATTTTGATGCTAATGATATTATCCTAGATATAGTTAAGCGAAAAAGTATCAAAACTGAAACGAATTTTGGCGAAATTATTAACAAAATTTGTGATCTTTGTTTTTCATCTGGTGATCCTAATTTGATTGCACAGGGTACCTCATTTGGAGCATGTCAATTCAGTTTAAATCCTGATTTTAGTCGATCTCTCGAAATTTCTCAAAGGATTTTGAATCCTAACATAAATCAAGATTGTCGGATCGAAGAAGTCCCAACTCTTCTTGAATCTCTTCAAATATTTGTCGATTCTTTCAGAAATGTTGAAATAATCCCTGATGATTGCATTGATTTGATATTTTCTGCAATTAATATAATATATTTGAATTTTGATTTTAGATATGATGATGAATTTTCATCTAATCTTAGTGACATTACGTTTGTTAGAGTATTTGAGTTTTATGAGCATCTAATCTCAGTCCAAAGTCAAAAGATGAGTGATTTCTTTGCAAACACATACAAAATAATATTTAAATTTGCTGACAAATTATGCCAATTCAGTAATGTTAGCAAAGAAGTTTTAGATTCTTATATGAAACTCGTAGGTGAGGCATGTAAGCATATAAAAGATAACAGGCAAAGAGTTTTCATGACTAGAAAAGTCATTGTTCAGCCTCTTCTTTTCGGAGCTTCAATGGTTTCTAATCAGCTTCAAGATTCATATAATAATGTTCTTTCTTCTCTCATTAAATCAACTAAATAAACATCTATCCTATCCTTAACAATTGCTATCGGTTTTTAAATGAAATTTTTTATTGATGTTTAGAATTATCTAGAATTATCATCAGAACTTTTCTAATTTTCTTCAGATTGTTTGTTTGTTCTTTTGAATGAACTAAAAATTCCATATTTATCATAATAATTTTTTGAAAATAGATAAAATTGATTTGTTAATATGAAAAAATAAATATTATCTAAAGTATAATAAAATTGCTACTTTGAAAAATTCCAAATTTTTTTCATTTTTATAAATATCAATAAAAACATTTGGAAAATGGAATTCATTTTTGAATTTTCAAAAAAAATTTGGAATATTTCAGATTCAGAACATCATTTTCTAGAAATGACTTCGTGATTATACAACATTTTTGTTATTAATCGTTTCAAAAAACAGGATATTTAAAATAAATTACGAAAAACTGGGGCATATATGAAAAGAGACTAATTTATTCAATAATATAATAGAGCAAAATGCTCTTTGGGGATAGATTATACTTCCTAATCAAATACTGCAGGTTTTCCGAAGCCTTTTTCTTTCAGTATAAGAATTGAGTAAATAATTGTAATAGTAATAACAACAGCATCAAGAATCCATGCAAGGATCTCTGTAGAATAGCTTGCTTCTGTTGGTAATTTAGGATAACCTCTCTCTTTGAAAAATTGCTTGAAAACCATTCCAAGCCTGTATCCAGCAAGCGTAATTCGATACTCTGCTGCTTCAGCACCATTAGCTAAGTAAGTATCGTTAATATTTTTCCAATCTACTAAAGGAGTGTAAGCGTAATCAATTGCCGTCTTATATGATTCGTCAATCCAATCATGAGGTGATAGAGATGGGTGTTCTTCGAGTATTTTAAGAGGATAAGCATTCATCATTCGAGTAATGTTTTTTTCGAAATCTTCAAGAGTTGGTGCAACGTATTTATTATGCTGAAAGTTAAGACAGGCAGAATCCCATAATTTGTGCAATGTTGAGCAAAAGTATGAAATCGAGCAATTTAATTTGATGAAATTTCCTCCAGCGTCACCTTTAGGATATTTATCGGAATAGTATGCGATTGAATGTACCGGACAGTGCGAATCTCCAACAAAATGTATAAGAGCGCGAAAATAAAAACCAAAAGTCCAAAATGATGTCGTTGTGGGGTCAAGTATTGATTTCATAGCATCATCAATGGCATTGGTAATATTAAATGTTCGAGTTACTTTTTTAGGGGTATATTCTGGTTCAATATATGGTTTATTTTCAAAGTGCCATTGCATAAGAATATCATCAATGTCACTTCTTATGGTATCTTCCCAGTTTGAGACTGTGATTAAGTCTTGTGCTTCACTTGGCCACAAAAACAGCATTTCATCGATCCATTTTCTTTGTTTCTTAGTCAACATAGTCTGTGCAACCCTGGCAATTAGTTGATGCGGTTCACCAGACCATGAGGTTGACATGATAAAAAGGAATTGGAGAATCATTTGAAATTTATGAACCAAAGAAAAATCTTTTTCGTTTTTTCTGCATATGAATCAAACCTAAACATATTTTTTCTTTCATCGTTTTCTTCATGGATAATAAAAGTGACATTATTAAGGTATTGGAAGTGAAAAAGTCTTACAAACGAAACACATTTTAAAATAGAGACAGAACAATACATGCAGGGTGTTGAACAACTCAATCGCAAAATAACAAGATTCTATTCTAGAACAAAAGAGAGTTGAAAATTATATCCTTTATACAATATTATTAGAAATATCCCACAATTTATCAGGGATATTGTTTAATTGAAGTATGTTTGTATATTTTGTTTGTTGTTTAGTACTAAATATAGTAAAATCATGATTTTTGACAATTTACAAAAAATTCAGTCAAATTGAAAATTATAAACGTCTGCAATGAACGTTCGAGCCTTCAACCAAGATGGGGAAGAGTCCGAACTTAGGATGTCCAGCCAAAACGAAAGTTTTCTTGAGATATCCAAGAGATTCAATCATGCGATCGAGAAAAGCCCTTCAGAAGAAACAGAAATTGCATTACAGCAAATTGTGAAAGAAGTTCAGCAAAAAACAAGAACAGACTACGAAAAGATGCTTATTTTCCAATGCCAAAGAGAAATTGCAAGAAGTTTAATCAAACGAGAAAAATACCAAGAAGCAATTCCATTTTTGCTCGAAACTCTCAAAATAGATCAATCACGTACTAACTTATGGGCAGACTTAGCAATTTGTGCCCAAATGACACAAAATGCAGACTTGTATCGCGCTGCTCAAGGTAAAGTTCAAAAGATTCGTCCAGAGTTGAATTTTGTTCTTCCAAAACCAGAAATACCACCGATAAAATCAATCCAAATCGAACCAGAATTCATAAATTACACTTTAAAGGCTGATTGTTTCAGACATTTCTTGACAGCCCTTGAAGTTGGAAACAAACAAAATCCATATTCGATTCTTGCTATTTCTCTTGACCACGAAATTTTAAGTCCTGATACAAATACACCAAGAAAATATGGTTTAATTCCTCATATTCCTCAAGGACAATTACCTGAAATCCAAGGCAAGCAATATGCCAGATTAGGAGGCATGACATTTGTTGAATTTTTGTTCCAAATTGGTGCAGAATTAATTGCAAACAACACTTTATTGTTTGATCAATCTGTACATATCATTACAACCAAAGCAATCAACAAAATTGCAGAATTGAAGTTCAGAGAAGCAGTTCCAGCTGAACTTTCAAAGCAAATTATCGATCTTTCATCGAAATACGTTTTTGATTCATTGACTCCAAACGCGAGATTGTTCATTGCTGAGCTTGCTTCAGTTCACTATCCACAGATGGTTTCAACTTTCTTAACAGATGTAATGCGTCCTTACATCCATCGTCCAAATGCAATTTTAAGAATCGCATTTGCAACTCTTGAAGGAGCCATCCGCGAAAACAGACCATATTCAGAACTAGAAAAATTATACCAGGCTTGTGAGCGCCATTTGAATGAACCATTAGCCATTCCTCATGCATCTCGTGTTATTAACAAAGATCTTTTAGAAGAGAAGAAAGAACAGATCGATATCATGCGCACAATCGATAACCATGACTCAGAACGTACATCAGAGCTTGCTGCAAAGTATTTTTCTGCAAAATGCCCACTTCAATTTTTGTCATTGAAGAATGTAGTCAAATTATTCCTTCAATTCGATTACAATATGGTCAAAGATCACCTTATCAACTTCTTAAGAATGCTTCCAAGTCTTATTAAATCTAATCCAAAAGATATTGCAATTTTAACAAGTCTTTTCCAGAGATTTATATATGAAATGAATGAAGATTGTGTTACCCAATTGAACAAGATCTTTTTAATGCTCACAGAACTAAATGCAGATAAAAATATCAGATTTGCTTGCGCATTAGCAATTGCTTATGGCTCAAAGAACTATCCAAACAGATCTAAGCTCTTAGCAACAATCCACAACAAACTTTCCGACTGCTGCTACTTAGAAGGAGGTAAATTCCTTGAAATCTTAATAGAATCGTTGATTAATGAGCCATCACCAGATTTAGCACCAGAAACAAAGGCATTTGGATGCTATTTCTCTGATTGCGCATTAACTTCTTCAACTCATGAATCTAATCTTACTCTTAGATGCTCTCCATTCATGCAGCAGTACTATAACCATCTTAGAAAACTCGAAGAAAAGGGAACTGCTACTCCAAATCAACTATTTACTCCTTATTTGTTGTTATGGATGCATTATAGAAGCGAAAAAGCAGATGACAGGGTCAAGAGGACACAGTGCTTGCATGAAATAGATGGCTGGTCAGTTTACAGGATCGTAAAAAGGAAAGAAAACATGATTGCAAAAACAGCTCAACTTCCTAAGGAATTAACGACACCAATGCTGTTAGAAGAAATGCTCAGAGAAGGCCAGGAGTCAAATCCAGCGGCCAGAGTTGCTTTAGCCAAAATTATTATCAAACAATATATCACAAAAAGACAACAAGAAGCAAATCAGCGCATTACTTCTGTATCTGTTCCTGTTGAAGATAAGAATTCCAACAAGAAGATGCTTGAAGATGCCCTGAAAACATTGGATGCAAATGGATCTGACGTTACTCCATATCAGAAATTAATTAGAGCTATCATATTATACTTCAATGACAATAAGAGCCAAGAAGCACTCAACATTATCAAGAGTTTAGGTCCATTTGACGACAAACCACGTAAAGAAGCAAGAAGATTATATTGGACAATGAGATTACTCGATGAAAATGGCCTCAACAAAGATCCAGCAGCTACATTATCAGTTAATGCTGCATTAAATCTCATGGATAGACTCAATAACTGCAGCGAATTCAATGTTTTGTTATACACAGCTGCAGGAAAACTCAAAAACGATGCAAATTTGTTCAAGAAAGCTATAGATACATATTGCAAATCAAGAATTGTTCTCCCACAACCATATGTTGAATTTGCAAAGCGTATTGAACCAAATGAAGCATACAAAGTTGTTTCTAAATGCGCAAGAACGAGATCAATGAACATAAACAACTTCTTCCACTTCGATTTCAAAGTTCCTTTCTTAATGGGATCTCCTGATGACTTGGAACAGACAAGAAGAGACCTTCTCCAAGTATACGTTGACTGCGCATGCAAATCAGGAAACTTCACACAAGTTTTCACTCTTATCAATCCAAACAACAAAGCTGATAGAAAATTGTCAAGAGTTTTCAAAGAAAACAGATTCGTTTATGGTATCGATAGAACAGAGATCTTTGTTAGATACACACAAGAACTCGTTCCAGCATACGAGAAGTCCAAGAAGAAAGACATAGAAGAAAGAAGTTTGGACGCGTTGTGGAAATCTGTTTTGATTTTAGATATGAAAGAAAAGAACGGAAATCGTGCAATTCCTGAGAATTTGGTCAAAGAAGTTGAAAGAGTACAGAAACAGTTGTTGGAAGTTTGCTGGAAGAAACTCATTGGTGAGAATCTTCCTGAAGGAGCAACTGTCGATGATTTGTTCGTGAAATTAAACGGCGTCGTCGAAGAAGAAGAGGATGACGAGGAAGAAGATGGAGATTTCGTTGACTCTGGCGATGATGAAGAGGAAGATGGAGGTGCTGCTGAAGAAGGAGCTCCAAATGAAGGTGGAGATGATGATGCAGCCGAAGAAGATGAAGGAGAGGAAGATGATGATGACGCTAATGGTGAAGAGGAGGAAGAAGGTGAAGCAGAAGAAGATGGTTCTTCCGGCTCCGATTAATTATTATTTGATTTATAGTTTTTTTTATATATATAAAAGTATTTTTGCATATTATAACACCATTGCAAATATTTCTTCCGTGTTCAAGACTTCAGTATCTGAGACAATTGTATTCAATGTAATCGACAATGAATCCCTATGATAATGCCATTTATTCACTGTAAACATCCATATAAAGATGGTGAAATTATATACAAATCGATATATCAGTTGATCAAACATGAAATCTGCTTCATTTCACGATAAAAAGTGATGTTTTATTGAGTTAGAGATAAAATAAATATTACATTGATAGTAGATATTACAAATATACTTACAATATGTCATCGGATTGGGAATCAAATTGTTTCCAAATTGAATCTCGAAGATATTTTTGAAATAAGTAGAAATCTAGGTTATTTACACATAGGATATACAATATTCAATATCAAAGACTTGCGAGTTGTCAGACCACTGAAATCGAATGAATTCAAATTTTGAGAACGGCAGATCTTTAAAAAGTATCACGCATATGATGTAGAATCTAGGAAATCCAAAATCGATTCACTGGCAAATTGAATGGCGTAATGTGAACTTACGAAAGTGAGGTGAACCGTTTTGTTGATTCCAGTGAAAAAATCGCCAGTGTTTTCTGCATATTTTGGCATCGTATAATGAAGTCTACACAGTTATCAGGCAATCGATGCTATTTTGAAAGAGATTTTTGAAAAAATGAGATATTTTGGATGAAACATACAATTTTTTTTATTTTTCTAACAGATGTAATATTAATTAGTGAAATATATCTATCGAATCTTAAAATACAATACAAACACGCTTAAAATTCGTCTCGCAATTCAGGACATCGAACGTCCTCTTTGTTTTCCTGCGATAATAATGATGGAGAGGGAATGGTTTCCGAAGGTTTTGTATAGACTGGTAAGCTTGTTGCCCAGAATGTGGGAAGAGGCGCCGCTGACGGTTTGTTTAATTTTGGCGGTTCAACAGCATTTACCGGCGCTTTCGATTTCTGCTTCGTAGGAGCATCACTCTTATATACAGATGATATCTTACGGAATACCTTAGGTTTTCTCTCCATTCTTAGCATTTGCAAATCACGGATCCGAGCAGCTTCCATAGCTGTCTCCGGATCTATCAGAGAGCAAACGCGGTCGTGGAACAAATCTCTGTCTTTTGTAAGACTTGCCCACTTCTCTGTGTAAGATGCGCCATTTTTCGTTTCGGGAAGAACAAAAATCACATCACCTTCTTTCACACCATACATGCTTAGTGAGAAACTATCAGTTAGTTCTATCCCGTTGTGAACGAACTTGACAATTCGATCTGGAATTAACTGCAAAATGTCGTTAACTGTTGCAGTGGAGAGCACATTTGCCTTCAAGATCCATCGCCCGGGATTGTACACCATAATACAAAACTTGGGTGGTGAATCATTGCGGGCAATGCTCTCCATATAATTTATAATCGAAAAACCGTTAGTCTACAGATAATTTTTTTTTTTGAACTTCGGTTGAAAGACATCAACTTTTTAACGCTTATTTTTGATACACTACCTGTACATGTTAAAACCCCTATACATCATATTGAGAGAATTTTTATAAAGGAAACTTTTTTTGGCGTTTTCAGAAACTCGTTGGCCAAATGATTATATTTTGAGAGGCATTTGAAAGAATGCAGCATTTCTAATCTTCTATTGGTATACATTACATTTCGACCATTCTTCCAAGAAACCTTATTCCTGGCAAAATGAATGAACTTTTCAAAGTCAGCGGAATAATTACAATCATTGTATTTTAATTAAATCATTCGAAAGGACTAGGCCTTTTAGTAACAGTTTCAATAATAATTCTTGAATCTTGATATCTTCAAATTGATCAAATTTTCCAGGGGATTATCCAACTAATCTGGTACGAACAGTTTCATTGTTTGTTGAATTAGAGCAAATTATATTGACTGAAATACTCTTACTGATTGATCTAAAGATCGAGGGATTACAAAATCTTTTAGACGTCCATTATTACTATGTTTTTCTGTCTTCACACATAGAGTATAAGACTTATATATTTAAAGGCTGTTTGTCAGCCTCGACCATCATTCTCGGAAATTTATTTCAGGAAAGAGAACTCGTAAATCACTCATAAATCTTTAATTCTACTAGATGGTGAATTGAATATACAAATGACAGCTTCTAGAGATCTAAAAAATTGAATGGTTTTAAATTTGTTGATAGTTAGGCTATTTCAATCTATGAGTACTCATTAAAATTGGTACCAATGATGTATTTATAGAAGACATGCCTCAAAGAAGAGTAATTTTCCGGAATTTGATATTATATTCGTATTTTTGCTGATAGTTAAAAAATCTTATTAATCACATATAGCTTACTATTTATTTCATATAAATTATGATGATCACACCCATAACTTGACAAAATTTTTTCTAATTGCAGGGGATTTATCCTTTGTCAATTTTTTTTCACTTCAAATGAAGTATCAAGTTTACACAGAAACTGCTGAACTCCGCGAGCTCTGCGAGAAGTCAATCAGAGAAACACTCGAGGCCGGCTGGCTTGCCCCCGGAAAGAAAGCGACCGCTGTTGAGAATTTACTCGCAGAACACTTCCATATGAAGAACGGATGCTTGGTTAACTCTGCTAAATCAGCACTTCTATTATCACTTGCTGCATATGGCGTTACACATGGTGATTACGTTAAAACTGATGATTTTGAAGGCGTAATCAAATTTTTAGGTGCGGTTACAACACAAAATGGCTCCGAAAAGCCAAAAGCTCAAATTGTTGAAGGCAAGAAATCTACTAATATCGAAAAAATCGCTCCAATTTTAATTCGTCACCAAGAAAATTATCTTATGGACCCATTAGATGCTGTTGATGTTGAAATTTTCACTCTTACTAACTGCTGCTGCGTAGTTATCTTCAAATCAAAGGAAATTTACAACGCAGTTCTTAGAATGAGAGATTGGGGTCGTGCTGGCACACAAGACGAAGATTTCGCAGGTAGATACAGTCAATTCGTTCTTGGAGACACACATTACGATTGGAAATTTGTTTTCAATGAACTTGGATTCAATTTCAAGAGTTGCGAAATGGCTGCATCAGTTTGCCTTGAATCAGTTAAGAGTATTCTTGCTTCTGAAGAAATTTCTCTTTGAGTTTCTTTCAAAATCAATATTTTTCATTATCATTTTTATATGATTTTTAAATTTTTGTCTTTAAAGTTTTAAACACTACGATTTCAATTATTCTAGTTCAAATAACTTGATTTTTAAAAGCAATCTTCATAAATTATAATATAACACAAAAATAATTTAATATTTCCCAATTCTTCTTATTAGAATGCATTTATACTAAATTCCACATCAATAATAACTAAATTTAATCTAATATGTTTGTATTTCATTCTAATTGACATATCCATTGTGCTAAGATTGTTCTGATTCTACAATTTACAAGCTTAATATCTCCGTTATACTATTTAACAATATCTCTTTTACATATGGAATATCAGATATTCTCTTATAAACCATAAGGAAGCTCCTATTACTTGAATGTGTTTGTGATCAATATCTCATGGTAAAGTGAGCAATTAGTCTGCACAATTCGGTTTTAAAATACTATAACGAGATGCATATTCTTCATTTGCTTATTGATGTACCTTGGAAAACTCATATTTGAGATTTTGGCGGTTTTTAAAATAAAATTTCGCGGCAATTTCGAGGGAACCCTAGCTTTCATTCTGACTTCAGCGGTCTATTAAATGAGTCTGAAGCCAGAATTGTGGATGTTGAAGGGACTTTTATACATTTTAGCGATAATCCTTTGAGTGCCGAATCAAATTTGAATATTTCGACAAATTATCCTGATTCTCAAGTCGGTTTATCAAACACTTCACCACTTAGTTTTCGAAATGATTACATGAATTCACAAAATTTCGATAATTACACTCAATTCAAAACAATCAAGCCAAGAGTTAAAAATAGTTTCGATAACGACAGTAAACAATCATCACCTTTCCAAAGTATTCGTTATTCTCCAAAAAGATCTCAAATTTCGCGTATTATTCCAACAAGAACTTCGATATCTCCTTTACCTGAAAACGAAACCGAACAAATGTTTACTGTTTACGATTCTCAAGAAAGCAGCACTGAATCTAACATCAACGCCATCACAAGTAAATACATTTCAAAAAAATCAGATTTAGAACAACCACAGAGTCCTTCAAAGTTCCCATCGGGCTCTCCAATCAGACTACTACCAGAAAACAAATCATACAATCTCGATAATCTTCCTTCAGACGCTTTTGCTCAACCAATCGAAAAAGAAGAAGAAATCGTACCGATTATTTTAGATTTACCATTACCACAGCGAATAGCTCGCAAAGACACAGAATCTGATACAGAATTTACACCTTCTTCCCTTACAAAAGAAGATTTTATAAATTATATCGGCCAAGACATCGCAAAATCACTTAACTCACGCCTTTTCAAGCAAAGAATAAAAGGATTAAACGAAATACAAGAAATTTTAAAATCAGAACAAGATCTAGATAATATCGCCGAAATTTTCTTTTTGGGATTGTCAATTCTACCTGGATTCAAGGAATCCAACCTCACCGTCAACCAAATGATGATCGATATCATAAGACACATCATCACAAAAGCGGAAAACATCTCAAAATCAACAGTTTTCATGATTCTGCCGTATTTAATTGAAAAATCATCAGACGTCAAGTTAAAAAAATCGATTTATGAACTGGACATGATGATTTCGGAAGCTTTATGTCCTTCTTTCATGGTTTTACAATTATTAGAAATATCTTCATCAAAAAGGAACCAAAAGATGATCGCTTCTTCACTGGATGTGTCACTAAAGATACTAGAAACGTTTGGACCAGGTGATCTCGATGTAGATGCTTATATTCCGCTGTTAATAAATTCATTATCAAGTTCTAACTCGGAAGTGAAGAAAAACGCGTTACAAGTATCAAAGTATTTATATAAGAAGTTCGGTGATGCTATTTATAACATAAATGAGAAGCTTTCTCCTGCTTTAAAATCACAATTTTTAAATGAACTGTCAAATGCACCGGAAATACATTCTCCAAGCCGTAATTACTTCAGACAAAGAGCTCAGTCGTATAAACCATCAACAAATACTGTAAAAGAAGAAGAAAAACAGCCAATGAAAATTTCTGACATAATTACATCGGAACAATGCCAAAAAATTATGACATCGACCAAATTTGCCGAACATAAAAACTTTCTACAGTCATTAGAAAGCGCAATTGAGGCTTGCCACTTCAAAATTCAATCATTTGACTTAGAACCTATATTAAAATCATTAAAATTCCTTGTAACCAATGGAAATCAAAATATTGTTGCTCTTTCTTTATCTGTAATGCGGAAATTGGCTGAATCTTCCGATAATGGAATTTCAAAATTTACAAATTACGTCGCAGAAGCTGTAATTGAGACATGGGGAGACCAGAGACAGAGTTTAAGAGAAACAGCTACAGAAACAGCAGTTATTTACAAGAATACTCCTGTTTTCATAAAATTAATCACAAATATTCAGAATTTTCCATCCGGAATGAGGTTAGAGATATTAAAATACGTTGAGAGAATGTCAAATGACATCAATTCGCAGGATTATTCAAAGATTACTCCAATAATTTTTTCATCTATCGATGATAAAAGTCCAAATGTAAGGACTAAGGCATTAAATGCGGCTATGATAGTTAAAAGTTCATGTCCTGAAGTTTTCCAACAAAATTTTGAAAAATCTTCTTCACAAATTCAGAAAAAGCTCTTACAATTAAGCGCAGACAACTCTCCAGTGAAGAAAACAGCAGAGAAAACAGAACCAGTCAAACAGGAACCAATGAAACAAGTTGTTTCTCCGAAATCAGAAAAATCAAATAATGAAACAGAGAAAACAGAAAAAATAACAATAGTATCAACAAAAGAGAAGAAAGAAAAGAGACTACAACAGTTCCAAGACCTTCTTAACCAACAAAATCTCCCAGAAAAAGCAAAAATTACCAAAATTTCTGAACAAACAAAAAGTGACAGCCAATTAATTTTTCCTCCATCGATATTCAAAGGCTTATTTTCAAATATATTAGCGGAACAGATTGTCGCTATCGGGAACATCACAGCACTCATGAAAACAGATAGAGAACCTCTAGAATTCTTATCTGATATTTTTATAAAATATTTAGCAATGAAAATCAACGAACGACAAACAAAACTTGTACAACTGATCTTACAATTGCTAAATGACCTACTTACCACTGCTGATTTGTCAGAATTAGAACTAAATTACTTGATCTCAATTTTGATACTGAATTATGATAAACTAAGTGAAGTAACAGATGAAATAGATGATATTTTGTTTAAATTCAGAGTTAACATCAAACAGAAACTATTATCTGAAATTTATATCCAATTATTAAGCAACAAAACAATATCTGAAGCATCAATTACAGTAATATTAAGTGAATTATCCTTCTTACTATCGAAAGACATCAATTTACTGATGACTTTGTTCGTATTTTGTTGTAATTTGATAGAAAACAACAAAATCGAGAAAATTGCAGGTTCATTGTTAACTCAAATCAGTTATTTACTTAGTGACAATGAGAGAGAAAGTTTCGTGAGGGATTTCTCTCCAGAAAAGAAAGAAAAAATTTCAAAATATTTTTTGATTTCGACAAAATTTTCAAAATTTTCATTCCAAGGATTTTCAAATATGGACAAAACGAAGAGATTACAGCAGATCAAGACATGTATCAAACTCCTGCAAACAGAGAAAGACGTCAAAGTCGATTTATCCGCTTCAGAACTCTTGGAATTCTTTTTGGAAGAAGAAATTGATTGGATAACCGTTAAGTCACTTTTGTTTACAATTTCTGAAATTGTTTCTAAATGTAAATTTGCTAATGAAGCACTGGAAAGACTTTTCTCTGTAATCTGCTTCTTCGCAAATAGAAGACAGAGACAAATAACTTCTGTTGACGGTTTGAGCGGTTTGATCGGCGCGATTTGTTTCAAAATCGCAAATATACTACCAGGGAAGTCCATTTTTGAGTCTATTTATGATGGAATGATCTCGTATTGTATAGCTGTGACTCCAGAATGTTTTTACGCAAAATTATGGACTGCGTTTTTGTTACAATTTGAAGAAATTACAAAAAGTGACAAAAATGACATCACTTCATGTTTAAATTTTGCGAATGACAAGATAAATAATGCGACTAACAGTGAGTCATTACTTTACCAGTTATTGAATGCTTTGATAAAGACATGTTCGAAATTTATTGAAAATGAAAGTGAAAAAGAAATTGTTGAGATGAATGAAGAGGAAGAAACGTTTTCTCCTTTGATTGCTACATCAAGACACATAAGTCCAAGGAAACAAACAAAAAGAAGCAGTTTACCACCACCTCACAAATCAAAAATTCCTCAACCGTCAAATTTCAAACCGAAAAATTCTCTCAAATTGGAGTTATTCGACCAAATATCGGTCGAACCATCAAGTGAACCACAAAAGACGAATATCCCACAGAAGAAGAAAACAAGGAAATTGCCAACACCTAAAAGAAAACCGCCAAAACCGAAAATTGTCTCTGATTCTGACGATGACGATTATTTACCATTGAAAACTCCATTAAAGTCATCTCCTGAATCAGTTCGGTCATTGATTGACCAATTGGAGCAGAGGACGCCTGAGAAGAAGACGAAATCCCAGTCTCCGCCAATTATTTTGTCTTCCGTACAGAGAATTTCGCCAAGAAACAATCCAATTGAAATTTCTGATTCTGACGACGGTTTGGTTCAAAATTCACTTCACACGACAATAGAGATACCTCAGAATGCGTTTGCTGATATCTTCAACAACGCTATTCCTCAGTCTCCACCTCAGAAAAGACAAGTTTCGTCAACTCCTTCAACTCCATTTTTATCTGAAACCAAAAAAGTGACAAAAACAGAGATTCCTTTACCTGTTAGTAATGATAATAATGATGAATCACTGATTGAGCTCGCTGATGAGGAAAACAGTGCAGAATTACCTTTCCCTCATATTGAAGCCGAAAAACAGGAAGAAAGTGCTGAATTTCTTGAAGTCTCTTCAAATAATACAAAAAGCGGATTAAGTGATGTTGTATTCGCTATATCTGGCGTTCTTAAGAAATGGAATGATGATTCTAACTTTAATTGATTTATTTTATTGTAAATAAAATATATATTTGTGTTTTTTTGTATTCCAAATATCCTAATTCTTTATAGTCTTTCATGCTTAACTCAATGTTCTCTATAATATATATTATTAACTAAATTGTTTCCTGAATTCTTTGTATGACCTATGAATATCAAAGAAATCCCAACACAACAAGCATATAATATACTTATATTGACTAATACACATGGACATTCGCAATCTTGCGTCCATTTATTCCGGAATTTAAGTTCACTCACCATATTTTATCCTTAACTACTATATTCTAACGGAGTTATTCGATGCGAATCATGGCATTACGAAAAATAGCCATGGCAGCGATGTTTTAAAATCTCATATTTTTTCGTCACTTACCGAAAATTTTCGTCATGAAAATATCAGACAACATTACGATTAACATTAAATGCATTAAAACTCAATCCGATTATTTTGATTAAAACGTGACAGATTTTTTCCTTTACATCTTCTTAATTACATAGAATGGATTCACCTCGACCAGTGGACCGCTTTGGTTGGTACACTGATGGTGACTATGTAATGTCTCCAAAAGAGAAACAACTTGCAGAAGCGGAAGCTAAAAAAGAGCACATTCGCGAGCAAAAATGGGCAGAAATGACAAGTAATTGGGAATATTGGATTACACACAAAAGAGATAAAGTAGCTAGAAGAATTCGAAAAGGTATACCCGATTCATTCCGTGCTAAAGCTTGGGATTTATTAACAAATGCCGAAGCATCATTAAATGCTGCACCAGAAAACATCGAACAACTTATGCAAAAGCCAGAACTTCCTACATACAAGTCAATAGAAGCAGATGTACAGAGAACATTCACTCATACCGCTTACTTTTCCAATCCAGAAATGCAACAGTCTTTGAGAAAGGTTTTATGCTCTTTTGCACAAATAAATCCAGAGTTGGGTTATGTATTTGGCATGTCCAACTTAGCAGCAACGTTTTTGATGTACTTAGATGAAAATACAACTTTATGGGCTTTTTATAATGTATTGACAGGATTTCGCACTCTCCATAAAGACTACTTTACGACAGGAACACCGCGATGGAAATTAGCCAATCAAATGTTAGATATTGTTCTGAAAGATAAATTGCCAAAAATCCACAAACATTTTCAAGACATAAACCTCGACCTTAAACAGATTACAGCCAAATGGTTCATTCCGGCTTTTCTCAGCTACGAATGGCCTTCCGAATTTATGCTTCGCATTTTCGACATTTTCTTATTCTACGGGACCAGGGCTCTTCTTGTGTTCGCCATAAGTATATTTTGGGTCCACAGGGACGAGCTCATTACTGATTCCCTCGCAGACGTCATCACTTTGATGGACAATCTTGATTCGTCGTCAAAGCTCAAGGACTGGAGAGTCTTTTTGAAGAATTTCGATGACCTCTGGATAAATAAGAAATATTATCTCAGTTTACTTAAACAATGCGGAGCTCCCCCTGAGAGATTAGAATAATACTTTATTACTTTCATCAATCTTGTTAATATTCTTCATTTTTCTTCTTGTTTTGCATTCGGCAATTCATCAGAGTAAAAATTATTTATCTTTAATAACAAATTACTTAGTGATTTATTGTAAAAGATTGAAACATTATGGTTTTATTTTAATATTGAATGGAAAATTTAATATAACAATATTGAAAGACAAAACTATACTTAAAATGTATAATAAGCAAATTCTATTCATTGATCACTATTATTTGCATTATAGATATGGCTTTATTAGCGGTTTAAAAGGTTATATATCAAACAAATTTAGCCCAAAAAGGTAAATATTTAAGTTTATACATATTAATGATGATGATGATAGTAGTGTACATTTGAAATTTCAATGATAAAAGTTCTAATTTAATGGATATTCCCAATATTATTGAAATCAAATCATTCTCATGGCATCTCAATATGCACATGAGTAAACATGTATACTATTAGATCATATAGATCAATTATTCAATAGAGATAAGTCATGAACAGTGCACGTCGGATAGTTTTATGATATCACTTGTAAATTTTTTTTTATTTTCCAAAAAAATGAATGAAGATGCCGAAGTAGGGAAAGAAATGGATGTTAATAAGCTAAAACTAGCTTTGAAGAAATCAATGGCCAAGAACAAGAAGATCCAAGAAGAATTCAAGAAGTTAGCTGATAACCAAACAGTTTTACAAAATGCAATCAACGAAAGACAGCAACTCATTCAAAATTTGGCCTCAACAAAAACAGAATTAGAGAAAAAGAATAACGATCTGATCATCAAATTGAATAAATGCGCAGACGAATTCCAAGTTGCAAAGAGAATTATGTCAGAAAAAGAGGAAAATCTAAAACAAGTCGAAAAAGCAAATTCCGATTTAATTTCTTCGTTTAACAATGAAAGAAAATCAAGCCAAATACAAATAAATGCAGCCAAGAAACAAATTCAAGCATTAAAAGACAAATTGAATCAAGTATCACCAGGATCAGCAGAGAAAATTCCAGATTACTTAACACAAGCACAAAATGAGCTTCCTGCTCCAACTCCTGGCGAAAATAACGCTTTGAAATCGGTTTTCAGCACTGCAACATCATTATTTAACGATCTAATTACAAATAACTTACCAGCAAGACCAAATACTGATGTGGAAAACACAAATAAATTAAATGAAGAAATATCAAACTTGAAATCAGAATTAGAAGCAAAGAACAAGCGGATAAGTGACATGCTGGCACAATACAACAACAAAGTTGCTGAAATAGAAGCCCAATACAAAGAAAAAGAGCAAAGATTACAACAATTGTTTTTAGAACACAAACAAAACTTAGAAAATCAGTACGCGAATAACAATGGAAGTGTTGATGTACAACAGATCGAAAATAGAATCCGTTCTCAAGTAGAAGCTGAGAAAAATTCTCAAATTCAAGATTTATTAAAACAACAAGAAAACAAACTCAGATCAGAGTTCGCATCATCGCAGTTGAGTTCTGATGCAAATAACAAACAAATTGAACAAAATTTGAGAAATAATTTTGAAAAAGAAAAAATTGAACTTCTAAAGCAGCAAGAAGCCAAAATTAGAGCTGAATATGAATCAACTATGAATAATCAGAACCAAAACCAGAAACAAATCGAAGCAAAACTGAGAAATGAATTTGAAAATCAAAAATCCGAACTTTTGAAGCAAATGGAGCAAAAATACAAAGCTGCATTAGAAGAGAATAACAACAAATACAATAATAATATGAAACAAATGGAAATTTCAATGAAAAACAATTATGAAACAAAATTCAACGAAGAAATCACGAAAATTAAGTCAGAAGCAGAGCAGAATAGAATAAATTCTTTGAAACAGTTAGAAGAAAAGCTCAGAAGTAGTTTTGAAGCAGAAAAAGCAAAAATTAAATCAGAATTCAGTCAAAAACAGAGAGAATTAGAAGATGAACAAAAGAAACTTGAGTTGGCAGCTGTTTCTAAACAATCAGATGCAAATCAGTTGATTCAGAAGCAAATGTCTGAAATTGAAGAAAAAAGAAAAGAATTACAACAAGAAATCAACAATTTCGAGCAGAAGAACCAACAATTCGAAGCAGAAAAGGCTAAACATATATCAGACTATCAAAATTACATGAAAAACCTTCAAGAAAAACAAAAAGAAATTTTGGAATTTAATGAAAAGACAAAGAAGTTCTCTGAAGAGCTGAAAGCCAAAGAAACTGAAATAAAAACTACTAGAAGCAATCTACAAAGCGAATTCAATGAAAAACAAAAAGAAATTGAAAATGAAAAATCAAATATCGAAAAACAGATGCAAGAAATCAATAAAATGAAGGAAGAATTAGCAACAAACCAAGAAAATCTTAATAAGAAGCTCCAAGAAATAGAAAATCAGCAAAATGATCAAAATTCTGATTTAAATACACAGAAAAACTTCATTGAAACGCAAAAAGCAGAGCTAGAGAGTGCAAGAAACGCATTGGAGCAGGAAAAGGAAGAAATTCAGAAGCAGAAAGAGCAAATTTCAGAAAAGAAGAAAAATCTTCAAAAAGTTCAGAAGAAACAGACAGCAGACAAAGAGTTTATTGATAAATCGAACCAAGAGATTGTCCAGAAGACACAGGAACTCCAAAACAAAGAGAATATGTTGAATGATTTGATGAATAAAATCAAAATCGACAGAGAAGAAGTAGACAAGCTTCAAATCCAAATCCAAAAGGAAAACAATGATTTGAAGAAGTCAAAAAGCGATTTCTTCGAAAAATCATCAAAATTGGCCGACCAAGAAAAAATTTTATCAGAAAAGGAAATTCAGCTCAGAAATCAGAAGGAGATTTTTCAGAAGGAAAATGGTCAGATGGAAGATAAGATCGCAGAGCTTGAGAACACTAAGAAACAGCTTCTCGATTCACAAACAAAAGTTCAAAACTTCCAATTGTACATTGTAGATTTGGAAGACAAAAATAAAATTTTGTCTGAAAATTTACAAAAAGTGACAGAAAAATTTACAAAAAGTGACAGTCAATTAAAAGAGTTATTTGCTCTTAAAGATGATTTAATAAAGAGAAACGAAGAATTGTCGAAATCAGAAAAAGAAAACAAAGAAAAAATTGAAAATTTGGAAAATAATTTACAAAAAGTGACAAAAGATGATGAAGACAAAAGTTTGCAGATAACTAATTATATTTCAGACATTTCCAAGTTGACTGAACAGACAAAGAACCAGAACCAAGAAATAGAAACACTAAAAGAAAATTTGACAAAAATTTCTGAAGAATTAAATTTGACAAAAACCAATTTCACTTCACTTTCTGAAGAACACGGTAAGACTACTGAAGAACTAGAGAAAACGAAGAGTGAATTAGCCAATCTCAAAGAGGAAAATGATAAAAATGTCTCTGAATCGAAAGATTTGAAAGAAATTGAAGAAAATTTGACAAAAATAAATGCAGAAATTCAGAACAAACTTGACATCCAAACTTCCTTGAACTTGCAATTGGAAAACCAACTGAAGGAGAGAGTAGAAATCAAAGATCCTTCATTTGATGAATTGAAGAGAAGAGTTGTTCTTCTCGAGAGAGAAAACTACAGATTGGCAAGTAGAAACAAAGAAGAAACACCAAGGAAACAAATTCCTGCTCCTTCTCCTGTTTTGAGAGAAACTAAAGTAGAAAAAGCACAAACACCAAATCCAAAGAAACAGGCGAAAACAAATCCTGATATTTCACAGAACTACATGAAGAAGATGCTTCTTCAGTTCTTTTTGACTGAAGAAAAAGACAGAGAATCAATGATTCCTATCATTTTGAAGTTTGTCGGATGTGACGACATGCAGGTACTGTGTGCTAAGAGAAAGTGGTCTGAAACACACTCTTTCATCAACAAAGGTTGGTTTTAATTAGTATTTTATATGTTTATTTATTTTGTTTTAAAATTATATAATTTTTATATCTGAGTTTTTACTTAACTTGTAAATATACATTAGTAAATATAATAGGGAGTCTAAAACAATACATGTCATGATCATATATTGAATTCTACCACAGTTTTCACAATATCTTCAAATTTGGTAAGGTTATTGAAACTTATTCCTTAACAGATGATTTATAATCAAATGTAATAAGTAAATTATGATGGTAGAATGATCAATCTGGGAAGATTTTTCATTTGTAATCACAAATTCGCAATAAAAGCCATAAAATCATGTTATTTTAGGAAGCATTATGTTATACACTAATATTTCATATTGTTTATGGTATAATCATGATTTCTTCATGGGATTTCTAAATAAATTTTTCAAAAAATTTCCGCGGTTGTTCATAAAGTGCTTTCAAAATTAATTTGAATACGGAAATAATTTTAAATCATTTTCCATAAATTAGTCATTAATATTGATATCCTATTAATTTCAGAAATATCTTTGATTTTGGAACCTTGAAAGTGACGCGGTGTCAAATTTTATCCAATAAATTTTTTCAATCATCGCTTATGCTCACTCAGACAATCATCGATCCTCTTGCTGGCATCGGCGAAACCAATTTCCTTGGCACTGGTCGTCGATCCACCATTTCATATATTCCCTATTCTACAAAGAAAAAAGAAGAGAAAACTGATGTGAAAGAAAGATCAACAAAAACGCCAATTCCTGTTGCCAAGACTCAAAGAAGCAAGAGCTCATTCCAATCTACAAAGAATGCTTTTATTTCTTCGAGGGCACACCAAAAAAATTTTGCGCAAACAATTATAGATAGAAATTGGGAGAAACAAGATAAAATCAGAAGATGGAACTATACATTACAAATACAAAAAATCGAAGCAAACATACAAGTTCGCAAAGATCACAGAAAATTGGGAGATTTAACTCAGAAGAAACTAAAAATTTATGGTGATACTTTAAGCAGCACAGGTCCAGTACAGCATATCAAGCTCCCTCGCGACGTACAAGTCACTGAATACACTCCATCCCACATTCACTACTTCTAAGGCATCTTTTATACTGTTTATTCATAATTTACCTTACATTATTGTTATTTTGAACTGATTTCCTTTGCTATTTCGAAAAATTCAAAATAACGTATATTTGGATGCGTTTTGTTGCTTTGAGTATATTGCGCACTACAATTGTTTATATGTACTAGTTTCTTTTTTTTACATTTACTAAACTACCATGTTTAATATTTTCATTCAGAAGTGTTTCGACCCCAGGTCTCAACACACGAACCTGTAGCTTGGTGGGTGTATATATATATATATATAGAAGATTAATCTCTAAAATCTCAAAGTATTCTCTAAACCACTTCGATTGATATAAAAAATCTCTCATATGTTTTACATAATAATCTTTGTATAAACTTATTTCCTATAAGGTCGCCAAAAAAAAGTGTGGAAATTAAAAACCGCAGTTCGAGTACTTTCTGAGAGTCTGTTTGTCAGAAAGTATACATTTGTAAACTTTCTGACACTAAAATTTTTTTGGTCCTTTCAAAGTTTTTGACAATGTCAAAAAGTATACATCGGGGCTCTCAATTTTCCTCTCAAACGGCGGTTTTTTAAAAACGCTCATTTTTTCATCGACCTTAATCATAATATATTTATTTTGCCAAGGTTGGCTAGGCTTGCCCTTCGGATTTGATTTATATGCCTAAAGAATTGTTGTAAGTTTAAGAATCCACCCTACAGATCACTAAACTTTATTTAATTCTAACAAAAAGCTTCATGACATGCTTGTTTGCATTCAATTACAATCCAAAATTGAAATTCAAAAAGTGCAAGAAAACTGCTAATTTTTTGACACTTTACAAAAAATTGTCGCAAAATAAACGATGGATATAGGGTTTTCAATATATATTACAATATTATTTTTTATACTTATTTTTCAAAAAAGTTCAAAATTGAGATTGCAAACACTTCTGATAAAAGAGGATAGAAATCTATGGCTAGGGTTTTCAGTGTTATTTTGTAGCTGTCGATGAATTCTCTTCCAATCAAAAATGAAAAGTTTTTCTCTTCTTTTGGTTCAAAATTTCTGTTTTGCCAACTAAATGCAAAGGATGAATCAGTTCCAGCTGGTTTAGTATCATAACTACTTCGATTTTTCCATAAATTCTTAGTAGCCCAATCACTGGCATCATTAGTTTTTCTATAAAAAATTGTATCTACATCAGTGACTCTTTCTGTTCCTCGAAGGATGAATTTCGCTGAATGATCATTGTAGATTCCTTCAAATCCGAGATTTCCTTCAAGTGGATTAATGACAGTGTTAAATTCTTGGTTATCAATCCAAAGTCCTGCATAAGTTGAAATACCAAGTGAGTGAGATCTAGTTCCTTTGTTTGTGACATCATATATGATGTTGATATAGTCACTGCTTTCAACGTTTTCGTAAAGTAACTTAAACTCAAACTCACCAATGGTCCAAACACCATTTGGTCTTGAACTAAGAGAACTATCACTGCCTCCATCAATTTTATAATATATTTGAATTCCGCCTGAACGTAAAATTTGGTAATCTTTGTTTCTGATGTTGTAAGTACGACTTGCTGAATAAGAAAAAATCCAATTACTGGTCATTTATCAGCAATAATGCTTTTCCCGATGTTTATGAAAAAGCTGATGCTTATTTAGAACCGAAATCGAAACAAAATTTTCCTTTAAAAAAAGACAAGTAAAAAAATCGTGAAAAGTGACAAAAATATTATGAATTGTTTTCCTTGGAGAGCGCGAAATAGATATAAACTCTGACTTATTGGAGATTTTACGCTGAAATTTCCATTACTTTGATACTGTTTCCTTCTAGGATTACTATAATTTTTTTTATATACAAACAAATTTTTTAATAAATCATTATAACAAACATAATAAATAATATTTATAGTTCACGCATTCTTCTCAGTTGCAATCTGACTGAAGATAATTGTTTCATAACAGTTTCAAGCTTCTGTTCCCATTGTTGTCTTTCTCTCATGTGTTGTGCAGCTGAAATTGATCTACTCTGAGGAGTATTTAGCATTGATTCGATAAATTCCTTCTGAATTATCAAATCATCCATTTGTTTCTTCATTTCATCAATGTTTTGATAGGAATCATCATGAAAGGCGTTTTGATTTGAGTCAAATGAGATATTATCTTGTAGGGCAGGATGGTTTCTTGCTGGAGAACTCCTGTTATTCTTTGTTTGCGGTTCAAAACTGTCTTCATTTCCAATTGCAAATGGAGCTTGACTTTTCTCCGGTGACTTAAGAGGAGAGTAATCTCCAACAAATACTGATGATAATCTAACTGGTGTTGCAATCTTATTTTGCTTATCAGAAAAATCTGAATTTTTATTTGGACTTTTTTGTTTGAATTCGTTAATATTTGGACTAGGAACAGTTGCAGAATATTGATTACCATAGCCACTACCGAAATCATTGTAAAAATCATCATCATTTTGTTGATTTTGATAATTTGTTCTGAAATCTGGTTTATCAGGTACAGATATACGAAGTGGTCCATTATCATCATAACTGTAAGATTTGTATTTTGGTTTTTCTTCAAAATCAAAAGTATTTGAGCTTCTTATTGGAGATTGAGATGTATTTCGTAGTTGGGATTCCAAATCTCGTATTTTATTCCTTTGTTCACGTATCTGTTTTGCTTGAGATGCAACTGTTTCGACAACATGGTTATAATCAGCGACAAGGTCATGATATTCATTCTGTAATCGTTGAGTCATTTCATCTCGTGATGAATATAGTTGTTGCCTTGTTTTAATTATATTGTCGAGTTGATCAATTTGTTGAATAAGCGTAGAACTCTTTTCTTTTTCAATAGAAAGACTATTTCTGAGATCTGTAAGCAATTTGAACGTATCTATTGTTGATTGTCTTTCTTGATTAAGTTGTTGCTGAACGTTAATAAAAGATTTTTGTAACTCAGCGAAGTTTTCATTCTGAACATTTATGTGTTTATGTAGTCTATCATTTTCTTCACGAAGAGAAGTTAATTCATCCATTTCATTTTGGAGTAATGTTGATTTGAAATTTGAAGAGAGACTTTTCGCATTCTTTCGCTTTTTATCACTATGTGGAGTTTGAAATTTTACTGGAGATGTTGATGCGCTTGTCCTTTCTTGAAGAGCTTTAACATAAGGTTGTACTTCCATGAAATTTCAAAAATGAAAATTGAAAGTTTTATCTCAAAAGAGAAAATATACCTAACTCATCATGGTGATATAAATTTTCAACATAACACAACGCAAAACGAGATATTTAGCTGAATTTTAAATTCAAATTGCTAGATTTCCTTATTTTATGATGAATTTTGAGTTAATTATGGAATATGAATTATTTGGTAGAATATTTGTTGAATTCTACGTTTTTTTGGTTGAGTAAAAGTGACAACTGAATGAAGACTACAATCGAAGGATCTCCTTATTCTCCTCCAGATCCAGTCGTTCCGAGAGTCCTCCCGTCTCCAATTAGTGAGGATAAGATACGTCCACCAGAAATTACTGAGATTCCTTTTGTAGTTTCAGAACCAAAACCATTAACTCGTTCTGACTCAAGTACGTTTGATGACATGGCGCAACAGCTTGAAAATCCAGCAGATATGATCGATTTCCATCCTCTTTTATCTCAATTTTGCGATAATTGCATTGAAATTTCAAACAACAACTCAATATCTTCATCAGACTCAAAAATTCTTCCTAAAATGATATCATCATTGCTAAAAGTTATCGAGGCAATACCAACAGAAGACTTATTATATTTAATCAACGGATTTCAATCATTAACAACTGTAATGCACTCAAAACCATCAACACCTTCTCTTGCAAGACTAAAATCACCAAAGCCAATCACAATTATTCCAGTAGTTAAAGGTCAAGAGAAAAAAGGTCCAAAACTCATTACTCCTCGCTTGATGCAAGCAAAACCAGTTAATACGCATCAACCTCTTGCTCCTCTCACAGATCTAGGCCACTCACAAGATTTAGATTCTTTATTAAATTTAATTAACTTTGTTATTGCGAAAGCATCATATCATTTCACAGAATCATTACCACCAATCGATAAGAAGACATACGAATCTATCGCAAACTTCTGTTTTTCAACAATTTCCCATCAAAATCACATAAGTACGAGAATTTACTCAGCAGCAGTTCTTTCCAACTTATCCAAGGATAAAGAATCACTCACATGTATATATACAATGCCAAACTGGACTCAAACCGTTACAAACTGTTTATCATCTGAAATTGAACAAAATGATTCATTCAAACAGTTCATAATCTACTTAATATCATTCATAAACAATGTTTCAGCTGATAAAACCTCAGAAAACTTAATTCCTCAGTCAAATATTTCAATAATGCTGTTTAAAATCCTCAAACAGCTGTCGAATGATGCTCAAGTAGTTCTCCGGTGCTTCTGCTTCCTCTCTAAATCGTGTAATGACGCTTCCTCTCGTTCAGATGCGATAACTGAGTTTGGATCTGAAGATTTGATAGGAATTTTCCTTTCTGTAATCGACAATTTCAGAGATGATGAAGCCATTATATCGAGATCGTGCTTTATCCTGTCAGAATTCGTTGATAAAGAGTTTGATTTTTCTAACGCGGTTTCTACGGCCAATTTGTCAGTAATTTTCGATTCCCTGAAGACAGCAAAGAACACAGGATGCGTTGAATCACTTACTGCTCTGATCGCGTGCTTGATTTCTGTAAAATCTTGTATCTCATTAATTTCCAAAAATTTAGTGTCACTTTTACAAACATCAAAACCGTTTTTATCGGTCACATCATGTCCAATTATTTTAGAGACATTGCGTACACTTTGTCGGGCTACTACTGTTGATTCTGCCACAGTTTTGAGGCCGTTAGATGACTGGTTATCAACAGGTGACACAGAAATTGAGAAATTGGCTCTTTGTTTGTGTTTTGATGTTAGCGAATACGGGATTCCTCTGGATGTAGCACAGATTGTGTTGCCTTATGTTGGTGATGACAGGAAGGACTTGTCTTTCCTTGCAATCAGAGTCATTTCTGGAGCAGCGAAAGATCCAATGATTTCGTCTCTTTCTGAGAAAATTGACTCCAGAGTGAAAAGAGTTATTGAAAACGAGGAATTGGACCAGGGAACAGTCTCTGAACTAGGAAAACTGTTTGAGAGCCTTCCTCAGGGTGTATTGTCTGAACAGACACTGGATGACGCAAGAGCTTTCGATGATTTAGCTATTTATACTATATAGAGATTTAATTTTTTTATGTTTTAAAATTTTGTTTGTTGTTTTATTTATTATAAAAAAAAGAATGATCTATCCATCAATCTTATGTTTTTTTCTATTAAAATAATAAAACCATTGTTGAATGATAGGCTATTACGAATATGAACTCTTGCAATCAAGTGTTAATTACTAATTTTTCATTTCCTCATTTTGCCCAAAAATTATATGAGATTTCAGCGATTTTCCCGATTTTCGAAAAAATTATCGAAAGTTCAATATGAAAGGAAATTGCCAGACTATTTTCGATACATAATGTTATTAACTTTTGCTATCCCATTTATATATATATTAGTGATGTCAGCTATCTAACATTCAGCAAAATATGCTTTTGACTCTTGTTTTAAACTATATTTTCATTGCAAAATATTTTTGGAGTTTCATGGAAAGAAAGCCGATAATTTGCAAACACAAATTTCTAACTAATTATCAAACATGAAAGTTTCATTGATGTGAAGATATGGAGTTATGAAGATTTTTTTTATGTTTAGTAAAGAAACGAAGAAAAGAGAAAGTTCACTAACTTCAAAAATCATGATATTGATAATTGCAAATTCTGCTTGGCAAATGGCAGTTGAAAGAAAAATCAAATTGTTAGTAGATAGTTCTCTTGGATTATTAGGTACTACAATAAATCTGAAAGTTGCTGAAATCGAATTGTTAATGTAACAACTATCAACTGTTAATTGATCACCATTGTTATATACATCAAACATGAATATTCAGGAACAGTAGTGTTAATAAAAGAACAACTTTTTACAGGATGAGAATTACCCGCATGGAAAATAATTCCATAATCTGCATATTCATCAGAATTATTTATAAACCTGTATTACCTACATCGAAAAGGGAACTTTTAATAAAAAAAATTTAAGTTATCTGTGTCAACTTCTATATTCGAAAAATGCGCTCCAAATTCTCGGCATTCGCATTTTGTAGAACAGAACTTACGTAGAACAATAGATATATTGCTGCCAATTTTGTAGTAAATGCAACATCCTTTTTCTTCTTCTGATTTTGAAGTGCATATACAAAAAGAACAGGGATTATGCAAGAACCATGAGTTGGCATGTAGGACTAAAGCTGATGACTCGGTTATTATCTTTAAAAATTGCATACATCCAAGTAGTGTTGACCATTCCAGCGTGTTATATTGCAGTATAGACAGTTCTTAGTTTCTGCTCCTGTAAATCGAGTATTGAAGGAGGTATTCCAAATAATGTCATCGGGTAATAATGCAAATATGGATATTTCAACCACTTCTTGATATACCAATTTATTACAGACTATCATCTCTTTCATTTGCAAATAATTTGCAAGCAGTTATATATTTTCGATTCTAATTTCAGAGGTATATTTGTATTTCTCGCTCAATAACATGCTTTATTGCTTAATATTGAGAATTAAATCAAATATATCGCAAACAAAGTATAAAAAGAAAATCTATCTGTTACATTTAAACTTTTAATGATAATTGGAAATACTGCATAACATATACCTTTTGAACTACGCTCTAATTTATTAATCATATGATCTCTATTGCTAACAAATGTCTATAAAAATTTTGGAAATGTCTAGTTTTTAATCTTATATATCTACCTGCCATTTTAGATATGAATCCATTCTGAAATTTAATCATTGTTACAACCACATTTTTACATATTTTTTCGCATTGTTAATTATATGATTAATTTGTATAAATTGATTTAATGGAATTGAAGTGAATAGCAAATTAAAATCAAGTGTATCTTTTGCTAACAAAATATTATGTTTATCATAATATTAACTTGAATAAGAAATATTGTTTTCCAAAAACTGGACAAAATGAAGCAGTGCTGTATTATTATTTTGAAACATTCGATATAAAAAATTCTTCAGCACCCTCAGGAGAATTCAGCCATTCATAAAAACATATCTCAGACTCTTGAGGATTGACCAAAGCTGCAACACTACCATCTCTCATCTTGTTTTCTTCTTGAGCTTTGACACCATAATCATTTTCTTTTCTCAATATGTTATCTTCTTGAGATTTAACCACAGTTGTTTGATTTTTAAACTTTTGCCATCTGTTTTTCAAGTTAATATCAGTCCTTCCTGGGAAAAAATTCGCAATATACGTCCATTTTGAGCCATACTCCATGTGAAGTTTGCGCAACTTTTCATCTTCTTCATGAGTCCACTCATTGTGAGAGATATTCGGGGCCAAATAATTGACATATCTCTCGCGTAATTTATTTTGATCTCGAAGATGTATGTTCTTGTTTTCTTTACTCAATTCTGCAAATTTTTCCTCAAGTTTTCTCCAAAATTTCGCCCCATTGTCCCGAACATAATTTAGTATCTCATCATCTTCATCCTTTGTAAATTTGGTCTTCGGAATGTACTTCCCATCAAAATTTGTTTTGACGTCAAATTCTAATTTTAAAATTCTTGACCAAGATTGAAAGCTTTACAAAATAGTTCGAAAACTGAAAACCGCTTCACTCATTCAATTTTCGCCCTATTTTGCTAAAATTTTTAGCTCTCAAAAAGAACTATCATTGAATTATTATATGTTAGTGGATTAATGTATAAATTATGTCATTAGAACGATATCATGTTTGAATTATACTAGTATTATGCATTTCAAAAAAAAATTGAAATGCATAAAATGTTTGTTATTTTTCAATACTTGTTTTTAAGGTTCTCTTAAAATATTACAAATACCGACCGGTTGTTTCGGTGAATTGAGTCGGCGATCAATTCTCTGAAAAAAATTGAAAGCATTGATCTTTCAATTTTTGCTATCGTATATTCAGTAAATTAACAAAAGTTCTTATTAGTGATGCCGATTTGGAAGATAATCCAAGATTTTCCAAAATCTAAAAAATGATATTTTCCTTGACGATTATTTTCTTGATTTTTTCATTTTCAATTTTTTTTTGGAATTTTTTATCTATCAAAACATTAGATCTTAATCGACGAAAACCTTTGTTTTTAGCTATTTAATCTATAGGCACCAAACACAGGTATTCCGGGAAAATGCAACTTGTAACTTTCACAAATTTCCGGAAGTAATTTTGAATGAATTCGGAAGAAATTGAGAGATGAGGAAGGAAAAAAGGAAGGAAATAAAAAAATTAAAATCTTATAATTTAGTTCCTTACATGATTATATGCAAACTTTGTTCAACGAAAAAATTTGTAAAAGGTTTTTTCTCAAATAAAAAATACGTTTGAATTACTTTTATATATAAATTTGAATAGAAATCATGTAACAAGCAAATCATATTTTCCAGGAAAATAAAAAATTGAATACTCGATAGGATTTTTCTTGGTCGGAAGTTGTTCTTTCATCTTAAACATATGCAAAACTTTATCTATCAACGCAATGGAATGACATACAACATGTTTGACTATTTATATATCAAACTTATTCAATACACAATCGTTTGTTAAATCATTATTGGAACTAAGTCTCGTTCATTACGCTTCTGTGTATTGGAAAATGCATAAAATTACATAGATCGGCAATAACATAACTATGGTAAAATGATTCCTGCTTGTTAGCCTTTCAGATACAAAAAAATCTTTATTTTACGATTGAACTAGTATCATTCTGATTAATAAACCAAATATGTTACAGATGTATTCCTTTTTATTCACTATTTTATAGAATTTTACATCCGAGATCAATTTCAATAATAAAGCGCATCAATTCGGCTATATACTTATTCAGATCCTGCTATATTTACTCTTGTGTTTGAATAAACATAATTTTTATTTTACATCATATCTTCCTGAAAATCTTCCCAAACTTAAATAATTTACTTCCGAAATTGAAATTAATTTCCAAATCGGCATCACTATTCTTATATTCAAATTTCTAACAAACAATCATTATTTTGTAAAAAGTGAACATAACGGTTAAGGATCACATGGCATTTGCCGGTGAACGTCACGTAAAGTCGTGTCAAATGTTTTAGGGTAAATACACCGGTAACCACTGGAAAATAATTGAGAATAAATTTTAATGGTCAACTCTATAAAAAATTTCGAAATGAGAATAAAAAACGTTTGAAAGCCTCTGAAAATTGAGAGACAGTTTGCAATTAGTCTTTTTATCTTAAATGTCTATGCATTCGTATACCAGTGAGAAAGTTCATTACTACATATAGCATTTGCAGATTAAATTTAAAAATCACTTCTATATATTTGAAACAAACAATAGAAAGAAAAACTTTATAAAACTTTTTATTTACAAACAAAAACAAAAGAAAAAAAAAGATCTAATTCATAGATAAAACAGCGTTAGTGTACTCATTCGTGTCGGAGTACGCCAATTGGTGGAAAGCTCCAGGAGGTTGTCCGACGCCGTTGAAAATCAAGTCATTCCACGACCGAGACTCAATTGCAGGGGGAGCGAAAGCGCAGACTTGGTCAGCCAAAGCCAACTTCGCAAGGGTGAGAGCTGCTTCATCTTCAGAAACAGCTTGGTACTGGTTGTTCGAAGAAGGAAAGTTGAATTCGAGCTCATTCAGGAGAATCTCTGTTTTGCACGTCGGACAGAGCGCGAATCCGTTCTTCTGTATCTCAGCGATTGCTGCAACAGCGTCAAAGTTGCATCCGTTGCATTTGACTGTATGAGCCAAAATCTGGTTTGTTTGTGGAGGAATCGTGATGTTCTTGGCAATACAGAAGTCCTTAACAATCTCCAATGGTGGCCTCTCTTCGACGAACTGGACAGCAAACCACGTCAAAAAATTTGATGGAGGATGAGGAAACTGAACTAGGAAGTTTTTCACGGTCTTAAGGGATGAGAAAATCATGAAGTAAGTGTTTTCGGTTCCGAACTTGGCCGCTTTCACTTCAACTTTGTCGATCAAAACATTCAAACACTGTGGAGGCACTGGTTCGCCAAGAGAGACGAAGCAGCCGAGAGCTTTGAGGTCAGAGCGCTTGTCGTTGTTCGGAAGAACCATTTCGAAACCGCTGGGACTGACAATTGGAGCATGAGCGTACAAAGGCTTGATTTGGCGATGTTTCATAAATATGGGTGGGATCGGTGGATCAGATAGTCTCACAAAAGTTTCCTGTTGGCCTCTTATTGAGTCAATTAAAAATCTTATGTGATATCCAATGGAAGGAACGATATTTTTAAGCATTGGGAATATGGATGATACAAATCTGTCTGGTCTCTCTTCAGATCTCTTCATTTTCCTGCAATTGAAGAGCCTGAAAAATAAATCTGCACGATCTTTATCAAGATTCTTCAAAAGTTGGTGAATGAACTGCGATTCTGTTTGACTGACCATGCCTGGCATTTGCTGAGGAATAGAAGGAGGAACTGGTTGTGAAATCTGATTTTGAGAATTTATTTTGGAAGATTGTTGAATTGGAGCTGTTAATGAAGGCTGAGATGGTTGCTGAGACATTTGTGAAGGCTGTTGTTGCTGTATCTGTTGAATTTGTTGAGCAATTTGCTGTTGAATATTTTGTGGAATTTGTTGTTGAGAAATTTGCTGTTGCTGCTGTTGTATTGGCTGTGAAATATTTTGCTGCATTGGTTGCTGCGATACTTGTTGCATTTGTTGTTGAATTGGCTGTTGAATTTGATTTTGCATCTGTTGTTGTATTTTTTGCTGTTGTTGCTGCTGCTGTATTTGTTGTTGCTGTTGCTGCTGTTGTTGTTGAAGCTGTTGAGCGATTTGCTTCTGAAATTGCTGTTGAATTTGATTTAGTTGTGATTGTTGCATTTGTGATGCCATATTTGGAGGTATCGGTGGAGCGGCGTTTTTGTTCTTTGATTTGCGCTGTTTTGGCTGATTTGGCATCATATAATTAAACTGTTGATTTTGCATTTTTTGTGAATTCGATGATTTCATGTGCATTTGCTGTTGGTTGTATTGATAATTCATTTGCATTTGCAATTGCGCCTGCATTTGAGGATTTATTTGGGAAAAAGCTTGAATTGCGCTGAATTGCTGTAGTTGTTGGTTAAGATTTCCCATTTGTGAGTTCATTCCTTGCGGCATTTGTTGATTCATTGACTTCAAAGCGTTTTGAATTTGAGTTTGAAATTGGTTCTGCGAAGTATTAGACATTTGAGCACCCATTTGAGACATCTGATTTCCCTGAGGCATTCCTTGGCCCATTGCCAGATTTAGAAACTGTTGCTGGATTTGGTTTAATCCTCCTTGCGGAATTTGCATCTGAGAATATCCTTGCATTTGCTGTTGATTAGGCATGCCTCCGGGCATTTGGCCACCCATAGGGTTCTGCATCCCTCCGCCCGGATTCTGCATATTTTTGCTATTCACAATTGTAAACTATTCAAAAAATCATTAAAATTACTCTCATGTATTTTTATGTGTGTATTAACAGTATGATAAAAATACACTTTTGTTTTTAGGCAGAAATTTTTTCCAAAATTTTCATGGATGATTATAAACCAGGCTCTGCAGAGCTTAATGTCAAACAATTCGACTTGAATTACATATATCCGGAAGAAAATGATCAAAATGAAGCAGTAGAATTAGATGATTCAGATTATATTGTAATTTTGAACCAAGAAGTTCCTGATTTACAATCAGCACTTAATTCCGGCGATATGACACAAATTACTAGAGCATTAGAACGCATTTTGTTCTTTGCAAAATTGGGAATTTTTGAAGTTTTCCATGCTATTTTTGAAAATGAACTTATTTCAATGCTTGCACCATTATATAAGATTGGATATCATGAAAACATTCTTTCCATTGCAATTTTAATAGCTTTGCAAAATGAAGAAGTAGTTTTACATTTTATGGAGACAGATTTATATAATTTCATATTATATGACTTACTAAATCCTAGAGAAGAAGATGTTAAGTTTTTAGTCCCAATATTTGCTAATGTAATTCGAAAATCTGATATTATTGCCTCAATTTTCTTCTCTTCTCATTTTTATAACGATGCGTTATACAAACTCATGGAAGTATTTCCAAATAATAGAAATGAATCAGAATACATCGAAGTTAAGGAATTATTTTTATGGATGATTGCGATGCTTGTAAATTCTATTGTTGCCATGAGATTTGGCAAAAAGAGAGCTGAGGAAATCAAGCAAGAAATTGGGCTACTTTTGGAGAATTACTCCGGAATATCAGTTGACAAGCTATTTTTATACGCTTTCTTGGATGATTCAATTACTCTGTACTCAGAATCTGTTATTTACAGAATTTTAAGAATTTTATTAAATAACGCAAAACATCCAACAGTTTGCTGCGTAATTACACATACGTTATGCTTATTTATATCTCAGGATATCGATATCGGAATGCCTCGTTCAGAAAATGCCAACATTATTCAAAATGATTTAGGATTTGTTACAGTTATTCATGATTACCTTCAAAAGAATGAGTATCATCTTACAAGATGTGTAATTAATGCAATTTCATTGATTCTTACTTATAATTCTGCAATTAGCAAATTTTCTGGTTCAATTTATTTAGATGCGCTTCTTGAAGCAATAGAATGCAATAGAAGTGAAATAACTCGCGTTTGTCTCGATTCACTCGCGAAATTATTTGAATTATATCCAATTTCTAAAAAGAGCATTCCTGAAAGGAGTTTAAACAAAATAAGAGAAGCAGTAAACTCTGATGAGTTTAAGTTAAGAGTATCTGCTGTTAATTGTCTTACTTCCATGGCGAAATTCTTAAATGATTTCCAAATATTGACATTTTCATGTTTGGAGTCCATCGCCGATATATTGTTATCTGCAGCCAATTTAGACCAAAAGATCAACATTCTTGAAAATTTATCGCAAATTATAGAGAAAACGTCAGAAGAAACTGATCCTACCTCAGTAACTCTGGCAATGCGCGACTCTGGTATTTATGATAGCGCACAGGAGTTATTGGACGAAGAAGATGAACATTTGGTTCAGATATGTGATTCATTTTTAGAAAAATGTAATGAAAATGATTTTTCTTTTGACGATTTGATGTAAAAATACCCATGTTATAGATTATTGTATTTTTTTTCTTTTGTTTGGCCGACATCAAATTTGGAAAACCAAATTTGTTTGAAGAAAGCGTTGTTTTTACTTTATATATGTGATGAGATAACTCAGGATGTGTATTTTCTCTAATGCTCGTATCATGAATCGTTTTGGAGCGTAAAGAGCTTGTCAAATTCAATTCATTCAATCTTCTCAAAATTTGAATACGAATAACGTTTTTTAATGTTGAAAAAATGGTTCTTATAGCATCTATTTTTGGGAAAATCAAAAAGAATTTGTTCATAAATTCGGTATTCAATTAGAATTTTTTAAATTGCGCCATGAAAACACCAAGGAATGATTTGTCTATCGATAGTTTCAATGTTTCTCTAATTTCAAAAGCCCCTGATCTACAAATTTACTATTGTTTAGAAGAGATTTTGTTTAATCCATTTGATGAACATATCAAATTAGCTATTGACATGATAAAAGAACATTTCCCAGATAATAGATTGCATTTTGCATACAAGTTAATTACATATGTCGCTGAGCATAGGCCTCATTCTTGGTTTTTCCTTTCACAAATTATTCAACAGATACCTCCACCACCTAAGCCGCTTAATGGTTGCAATTTTGTTTATTACTTAGTCAAAAAAGGAATATTACCATTCAAATATTCAGCCACACGCGGAAGAATAGATCAAAGTGCTGAAGAATTACTTAGCGGCTATCCGCTGACATCTTTATCACATTATATTAGGACTGATGATTTGGATAGAGTCATTGGTTCTCCACTTGACGCAGGCATTTTCCAGATGAAATTGAAATTAGGAGATAAAGAAGCACCAATCTTAGGATTCGCTATGTATTACAACTCAGATCGTGTTGTCAAATGGTTACTTACAAATGAATGCTCATTTGGCCAAGATGTCGCAGAATACGCTGCAATGAGTGGAAATTTGAACTACATTCATATGTGTCAACAGAAAGGCATCTCACTCAGAAACTACATAAATACAATAATTGAATACCATCACAACGATATTCTCAGAGATGTAATTGGTTCTCACAAAATTGCATACGATACACAGCTCGCTCTTCGTATTCACAACACTCTGTTCCTTGCATGGCTCGGAACATCGAAGAATCTCCTTGTAGAAAGAACAGAAGGAGGAATGACACCAATGCTACGTGCAGCAGGCGACAACAACGTAGAATATGTAAAATTCCTTGAAACGAAAGGCGCAAAGGTATCAGCGAAAGATAAACAAGGAACAAATGCTTTGATTAGAGCAGCTCGTCACGGAGCAATCGACGTAGTGAAGTATATATGCCAGGAAAAATCGAATTGTGATCATTCTGATATTGCGGGAAATACAGCGTTAGCGTGGGCTGCTCTTAAAGGACACCCTGATGTAATGCAGGTTTTAATCGATAAAGGAGCAGATGTAAACAAAAAGAACAACAAAGGAGTATCGCCTATGTATAACGCTCTTCAAAGCAGGTGCTACGAAGCTTTCGAAGTACTCGCAAAAAACGGTGCTGATTTAGAAGAAATTATGGTAGGGGGAGTCACCCCCCTCATTTTCGCAATCCTCAATGGAATGATCCAAGTCATTGACAAGTTATTAGAGCTTGGTGTTAAGCCAGATACTAAGGATAGCTATGGTTCTACGCCTTTGATGCACGCTGCAAAAGAATGGCAGCCAAAGGTTGCAATTAAGCTTTTGAAGTACGGAGCGAACCCAGAGATCCAAGATCCAAAGGGATTGACTGCATTGCAATATACTTTTTGTGATGAAATTAAGGAAATGCTAAGAGCTCATCATTAGATTTTTTGTATTTAATATATTATATATATTTTGTATGCTAATAAGGGTTTCGTTTTGCGAAAAAAACGTACAATACGCAATTTCGCTAAAAAAACATTTAGCTAGCAATTTCGACCTTTGACTCCACTCAAGACGTCACTTTTTTAATTTTGCGGTATCATATTTTTGGAAAATCTTTATGAATATTATATAAAAAGTCTCTTTAATATCTATATTTCATATTTTTATCGATTTTTAAAGTTTTTGCGAAAAGTATTCAATTATTTTTGCTATTTTGTCGGGTAAATGTCAGATTTGCGACATTTTCTGATATGATATTCAGATTCTACGTTGATAATAATGCTTATAGAACCCTCTTGCTATTGTGTCAAAATTGCGAAACCGATAGCAAAAATATCTCGCAATATCAAAATTGAGATATTGAGTGAATTATGCATTATAGAGATTAAAAATCTGATTTGTGAAAACATCTCATCAGTTTCTAGCTAATTCAAAAATCTTTACTATCTTATTCGATTAAAATGAAAAGGGAATAGTTTCATTATGCTTTAAATGACAGCCTTATAATATAATCATAGTTTTCGCTCAATATGCAGCATTTTTTTTCGAAATCTATGGTCAATATCCTAAATACTGATTGCTTTGCATTCATATCTCTTACATTTTCTATACCCACATCACTATTCATTGCTATTCCTATCTTTTTCATTTTTGTTTGTTTCTCATAATTTCTCAAAAAACATGATAACTTGATATTTGTAAATATCATACTTTATAACGTAAATAAGAACTTGACCTATTAAGAAAAGCAGTAATGAAAAGAAAATCTGAAATTCATAAAAATTACAAGTTTCTGATGACAATTAGCTTAATTAAACCAGGTACAAGATTATATAATTGTATTTTCTATCCAATTATCCATATAATATCTTATCCAGAAAAAATAACTTGATCAATACCAAATGATTTTTTAACTAGTAAATAAAGTATTTTCTTTACACACACATTGTATATCATAGTTTTTTTTTTGGTTTCGCAAAACATCCAAAAACAAATATGCTATAAAAGTGACAATTTTAGCAAAACGAAACCCTTAATGCTAAATCATAATATTTGTTAAATTTGCGGATATGATCGTTATAAATCTTAAATTGTAAATTTAATATTTTATGGCAATATAAATGTATAGAAGTAAAGAGTGTTTATATGTTAATGTATTTGTGTTCAATATTAAGTTCTGTCAAAATGTAAGCTATTCAATTCTATCGTCGGGGGAAGTATCACAAATCTATCAATTTTTTTGTAAAAGTATACAAAAACATATGGTGTTCAATTAGTTTATAATAATATAAATATTAAGATTATCCAAAATAAGAAAAACTAGGTTTTGAGAACACTTTTGAGATGATAATCAAAATATTTTGATTGAAAAATAATATATTATGTATCAGATATAGAATGGATTTTTTCAAATTTAAAAATTCTGAAAAATAAACAGTTTTGTAAAGTAAAAAAAAATGAACGAAAACTCGAGACCTCGTATTCCAAATGAATGGGTAAGATATATGTATGAAAAACTTGAAAGTGGTGAGTGAGGATGTCAATTTGGAAGAAAAGTGAGAAAATTCCTCAAATGCTAAAAATGAATTTTCCAAACGGGTTTTTTATCTCATTTTTTTGATTTTGAAAAAAATTTGGAGAGAAGAACTCTTCGTTTTTGAATTTTATCACGATGGTTTTAAAGTATATTAGACACATGTATTGGTATTACTATTTTTGTATATTTTGAGAGAAAATCCCTAAAAAGTGAGAAAATCTAAGACGGTTTGAGAAAATATATAAACTATTGAAAATTTGAATTAAACTTCTAATTTGGAAAAAAGAAATTTGGAAAGAAGAAAATTCAAAAATCGAGATTTAGACTCAGCATCAAATGGAGAACAAAATGTTTCTTCATATGAAGGAAAAAATTTTTCTTGTGAAGAAATAGAGTTTTTAAAATTTTATTGTATGTAATGAAATAAACAAATATTAAAATTATTTTTTGATAACAAGAAAATTCCAAATAGAAAATATTTGAGAGAAAAAAAAAGAAAATTGAAAAATATTACTCTCCTTTATATTTCATGAGATTTTAAATTTATTCTCATAAAATTGACAATTTTATACGTTTAGATGAAAATAAGTGATTTTGGTTGAAATAGAAATTATTATTTGCTTACAGCTATCAAATAGATTTTTGCTATTTTGATTAAAATTTGTTAATCAAATTAATAATTTTTTTTTTCTAAATATCTTAAATATCTGGATCACTCACATATACAATGAATTGAACGATAAAAATAATACAAACTCAACTAAGTTTCCTGTCTTTCAACTAAAAAAAATTATGCAAATTAAATTAAATTGTTTATTCAAATATAAAACAAAGATGAAGTAATTACAGTTATCATAAACTTTATGAATAACTCTGTAATTGGTTCAGATTTTCGTAAAAATATTTTTATTAATATCGATAAGAATACGTTTACCTACTATCACAACATATCGATAAACAAGAGTAGAGTGATTTTTATCATCGAAACTTTTTAAAAGCTGTAAGCTGGAAGGAAAATCTTGTTTTTTCTGAGTTAGTTGTAGAACTATTGATGCACGAGTTATCATTGTGATGTAGAAGGATGTCAATGTACTGACTGAAGGATATGAAGTGAATTGAATTTCATTGCATTTCAATTTGATCAAAATTTGTTGAAATGATATGAATGTGTCAACATCTGTATCACTCCTTCCCTATTCTTTCGAGAACGAAGCTAGCTCAGCTTTCGCTGAGCGAATTGACACTTTTGATGTCCTAAACGTACATACTCTCAAATTTATCGAAAAAAATTATACCACCTAAACCAGTATATTCTTATTTTAAATATGATATTATCCTTAGAATCCACACTAGAATATATTTAAATCAACTTTTAAAAAAGTTCGAATCCTGCGCGTCTCACTTTTTAAATTTTCGAAAAGGAAAATTATATTCTCCTAAAATGAAAACAATTTTCCGAATTGACATCCTTATGGTGAGTTAACATACGCAACAGTTTTGAAAAAAGTTCCATATTCTTATCAAAATGTTACAATTTTCAAACAAATTTCAAGAAATACTCTCAAAAAAGCATTCAAAGAAATCGGTGGTACACCAAAAATTAAAAGTGGTCCTCCACAAGAGGAATTAACTCCAGAATTAATTTTGAAGGTTCAGAATTCTTATGAAAATTACAAATGTGGGGTTCAAAAATTGTATTGGACTCTCAATATGAATCCAAAACAATTTCAAATCAGTTACAATGCAGTTATTAAGGCAGCAAAATTTCTGGGAATTTACAAAGAAAAAGATAAAAGTAATCCAAAAGCATATTATGTGGATTATGAAGCAATTCTTCCAAATACAATCTGGCATGTGGATATTCATTTTTTGAAAGAACCAGAAACTTTACCGGTTTATGGAATAATTGATGACAAAAGTCGTTATTTGTTAGCATTGAAATTGCTTCGTAACAAAAGTTCAACAGAAACTTCAAAAGTGGCAATTGCAACAGTTCAAAAATATGGAGCACCTTTCTGTTTCTGGTCAGATAACGGTAAAGAAAATGAGGGAGAGTTCACAAAATTTTTGAGTACTTATGACATTCAAATCAGAAAATCAGCTCCATACATGCCACGTCAAAATGGCAAAATTGAACGCCTCTGGCCATCACTGGACAAAAATGCTCCAAAGTCTTCAGAATTTGAGAGCATCAATCAGGAATTGGAAGAATTCAGGCAAAAATACAATGACATGCCACATGGCGCTCATCCAAAAATTGGAGTTCGACCATACACTCCAAGAGAGGTTTACAACAAATTTAAGAAATGGACCAAGGATGATAAACCGCTCTGGAAAAAATGTGTTAATAAGCAGTGGGAAGTTGAAGAGATTCCAAACTATTGAAATATTCTATATTTTTTTCAAAAATTCTCATTCAAATTTGAATTTGGTTTTCAAAATTATGAATAAACATTATTTTTATTAAACTTGATTTTTAGCTCTGAAGAATCAAAAGAATTTAGCGAGAAAGAATATGCAGCTCACATAGGGGTAGATAAAGATATATCTCGAAAAAAATTGAATTTATTGTAAAGAATGAAGAAGTTCATTTTAAGATTGAGTTGATTTTCAACCAAAACGAGAGAGCATGCAGGCAAATGAAATTCGAAAAGTGAAAGGAATGACATATGCAAAAGAAAAGATTCAAATAACGCAAGCGAAATATAGATCAGTTAAAATCAGAATAAAATTTCGATCTTTTCTACAGGGAACTAAAGGCTATGAGGCACTAATATATAATCAGTGCCTCATAGCCTTTAGTTTGTTATTAAAAACGAGAAAACTTGTTCGAAATGATAAACAATTGCGAACAAGTTTTCTCACTTCAGCGAGGGAATTGTTCCTTATGATGCATACATTATAAATATATACATCATAAGGAACAATTCCCTCTAGATAGCTGGGAAACTTTCTCTAAATAACTTATCATTTGGAGAAAGTTTCCCAGCTATCTACTGGGAACTAAAGGCTATGAGGCACTAATATATAATCAGTGCCTCATAGCCTTTAGTTTGTTATTAAAAACGAGAAAACTTGTTCGAAATGATAAACAATTTCGAACAAGTTTTCTCGTTTTAAGGAGGGAATTGTTCCTTATGATGCATACATTATAAATATATACATCATAAGGAACAATTCCCTCTAGATAGCTAGGAAACCCTAAATTAACTATTAATCTTTGAGATATTTTTTTTATTGAGGTTAATACGTTTTTCTAAATAATTAAAATGTAAAATTTTGATTGTGAACTCATCTCTAATATTTTGGCTCTTTAATATATTTGAATCATGATCTTTGATATGAGTTCTCAAAAGTATTCACAAAAGCTATTTTTCCTTGAAATTTAAAAATCCTGTTTATCATATATTACCGAATTCAATTCCCTACATATTTCAAAATATTCTATGAACATTTCAATTTTTGAAAAAAACATATTTTTTTCCAAATATATTTATTATCATATTTCTAATAATATTTCCTAAACCGTCACTTTTTACTTCCTCGACGATTATTTCCCTCTCAAGAAATTCAATAGCTTACATTTTGACAGAACTTAATATGTAACATTTGTTATGAGGTTTAACATAAGAGTGTTCATTTTTCATGAAAGCATCCAAGACGCGAATCACTGATGTTTTTCGCGTTTTTTGGAATGCTTCTTCATGGTTTTCGACATTGATTTTGGGTACTATATTGATATTTGCTCTTGGTGAGCTAATTGTTGGCAACTATTCCGGTTTGTATCCTTCAAAATTAATGAAATATATTACAAAAAAGGACACTAAGCAATTCGGTCATGATTTATACATTTACGCATTCTTCCTTGTAGGTTCTGTTTTGATTCTTGGCATCAAACTTTGGCTCTGCGATAGATTATCAATAAGATTTAGGGATAAACTCGTTCAACAGATACACAAAGATTACATGACAGGAAACAGCTTCTATGATTTACTGATGTACGACACTCACATCGACAATCCTGATGGTCGCATTACACAAGACATAGAAAACTACGGCGAAACATCGATCAAAGTTATTGTTGCTGCTGCTCAATCTCCGCTTATAATAGCATACTACTCTTACTCAACATTTAAAGATATGGGTTTAAATTCATTATTAATTACACTCTTATTTACAACAGTTTCATTTTTCGCAACTCGATTTGCAATGTCTCCGATTGTGCGCTTAACTTACAAGTTTGAAGCTGCCAATGCAGACTTCAGAACTGCTCATGTGAATCTCAAAGAAAATGCAGAGACAATCGCACTTTCTAGAGGTCAATCCGCCGAAGAAAAGTTGTTATCAGATCGTCTAGCATCAGTTCTCTCTGTTCAGAAGCAACTTTCTAACACATCTATTATATTAAATATTGTTGTTAACATTTGTCAGTATTTTGGCAATGCATTGGTTTATTTATGCATCTACATATGTGCACCAGCAACAGAAGATCCTTCTATCCTTGCAGAATTCACGGGAAGAGTAAGTTTCGAAGTAATTATGTTAATTTCAGGAATTACTTCATTAATGAACGTAATCAATGACTTTTCCAAGCTTTCTGGATACTCAACACGTATACAAGAGCTGTTATCTATACTAAGAGAACAAGCAGAACACGTGAATATCAACAAATTTGGAAATTCTTTTGTTCTTGAAAATGCAACAGTGATGAGACCTTCTGGAGACAGTTTGATCAATGATCTGAACTTGACTGTTAGACCTGGAGAGTCGTTGTTCATTGTCGGTCCTTCAGGTGCTGGAAAATCATCTCTTTTCAGAGTTTTAGGAGGAATTTGGCCTATTAAATCAGGGAAAGTTACAATTCCTGAAGAAAAGACAATGATTTTGACACAAAGACCATATGTTCCAAGGAATGCGACACTTGAAGAAGCAATTGCATTTCCGAAAGAACTAAATGAAGTTGATTTGTTTGAGATACAAAACACTTTGAGACTTCTGAAAATTGAACATTTGAAATTAAGAGATGACGAAGATTGGTGGGTCGGATTGTCTCCAGGAGAGCAGCAGAGAGTTGCAATTGCAAGAATACTTGTTCACAGACCAACATTTGCGCTACTTGATGAAGCAACTTCTGCAATTCCTTCTAAACTTGAAGAAGAAATTTTCAAAGTTTTGGCTCAGAAAGATATCACTTGTATAACTATTGCTCACAACAAAGAGCTTAGGAAATGGCATAAGAATGTATTAGAGTTAACAGGTAATGGACGATATTCTATTTATTAATTGTTTTTTTCGTAAAATTAAATCTATCTTTATATTCTATCTAATTTCATACGTTTTTGACATTATATATAGTTAATTGTAACTTAGAAGTGTTATTAATCCTCATTAAAATGATAATTTATCCAAATTCCAAAAATTATTTACCTTATTTTAAGTATCAATGTAATAATTAATATGTGAAAACTATTAATTTTAAATATAATTGCAAATCCATTATCTAATATTTCTTAATTTTGAGTTTTATCACTCGATTTTTTCCAAAATTTTTAGAAAAATTCAATTTTCAAAGAAATTTTCTAGAATGTTGTGATCGAAAAATAAATTTCAAAAATAATTTGGAATTTCAAACATAGAATCATTTATTAGTACATAATGTGTGTGATTTAATGGAAGAGGAAAAACTTTCAAATTCCTTAATTTATTAAAAGATTATAATTGTAAAGATATAAGCTAATTATATCTATCCAAACATAAATATTAGGAGATTTAATCACGATTATCAACGAAAATTTTATTGTTAACATTCAAATTATTGAGTTTTCTGATATGATTTGATTCAAATTTGTCACTTTTGGAGAATTTGACACTTTTGCTAAAATGTCATCATTGAATTGCCGATTAAGTAAATTACCAGGTATTGAGAATTTCATAAGAGATACATCATCTATGTCCTCTAGTGGAAGCAAAACACCTGGAATTGATGAAATTATAACAAAAGTTGTTTCTGCAAAAAATGTAATTGCTTTTTCAACGTCAGAAGATCCATTCCCATATTTGTATTTTATTGGCAGTAACCAAGTGTTAAATCCATCCATTGATGTTTCTATTTTAGATCAATCTTTGATAAATCGACCATTAATCACAGCATTAGACATATCTTCAGACGAAGAATATGTCGTAACAGGATATAACAACGGTCAAATTATACTCTGGAGTACAAAACTTCGAATTCGCGTCGCTTATTTCAACGAAATCGGAACTTCTCCTGTAAATAGCATTTCTTTTCAACAAGATATGAAATCAATATTTGTAGCACTCAGCAATAACCAAGTACATCATCTTTCTCTTATGTCTATTATGGATTATTTGACAATAAAATCTGAAGACTTCTTCCCAGTTAAAACTCCAGCACTACAAATCAAGTCAATGGCATTTTGTGACTGCTCTCGAGTATATGTTGCTCTTTCTTTTGAAAATTCTGTTCGAGTTATCGTTCCTGGCAATTTCAAGAAGACTGTGTTAGATCTAAATATCGACAATCCAATCATCTCATTATCCAACTACGAATGGACAATATATCTTGCCATTTCTTCGCATAATACTTTATATATTTATTCTATCAACGACAATGATGAATACAAGCTCATTAATCAGATGGAGTTCGATGCACAGATTACAAATATCCAATTTGTTTCTAGTTCTATCATTTCCATTTACTTCAATGAAGAAATCAAACTTGTTCATATCAATGGACAAATTCTATCGGTTATGAACAATTTACCTAAAACTCCGAAATTACTTTCTACGCTGAATGATGCCTGTATCATCCTTCCTTACATAATTAACATCGAACAATGGAAAGAACGCCTAGATAACCTCCAGAAAGAAGGGAAATACCAAAAAGCAATATCCACTGCCCTCGAAATTTACAACGGAGAGAGTATTGAGTTTGAATGTTCAATTGATAGAGATGATATCAGGGAATACATCAATAAACTGCTTGTTTCCTTTGTTAAAAGTGGTACAGTAACACAACAGGATATGTTATTAATCGCAAATGCTGCAATTGAAACAGAATCTCCACAACAATTGCTCAGATTAGGTCTTTTCGAGATGGCTGACCAATCTATACAACACCCGTTGATTGTTGCGATGCTTTCTGCTGCTGCAAATCGCTCAGACCTCGCTCCTTCGATTGTAAGAAAAGTTATCGAATTAAGTGACGTAGATTCAGAAGTTTTGGAGAATTTCCTGATGAGAATCACATTACCACCAAGTTTTACCCAGGAAGTCATTGCTTTTGCCAAGAGAAAACGCTTTACAAGGTTTTTAATTCATCATTTTGACACAGTTTACAACAACATCTTCCCAATCTTTGCCGATGTTGTTGAGAATGGCACAAAAGAAGAAATAGCCACTGCTTTACAGTATATTTTCTTGAGCGGAGAATTTGAACCTCGGAAATCGAATATTTGCATTGTTTGGCTGTTCGGCCAACAATCTACAAGGGCGAGAAAGTGTTTCGAGTCAAATTGGTCGATGGCTTCTCAACTTTTCAAAGTTTTCATTTCCAGATCTCCAATTTCCTTCAGCTCCTGCCAGAAATTGACAGCGGAAAACATAACAGTGGCTACAGCAGCCAGCTTCGACGGAGCTCCTTTAGGCAGCGCCGATTTATTATTTGAGATATTATCTCAGCATTTGTTAAACTTGAACATCCCTGTTCCAAGCGAACGCCTCAAGACATTCATCTCGTTTATCTTCGAATCGAACTCAGATAAGAAAGTTCGAGAAAAATTGTTCAAAAGAATTGTAGAAAAAGATTTCAAAGATGTTGTTGTATTAAATGACTTCCAACAACTTTGTGTCTCCGCCGGTTTTTCCGATATCGTTACTCAATATTTCAAAGATATCAATTACGAGTCAATTATCACTACTTATCTACTTTCTGATCAGCCAGAAGATTCTTTCAACTATATAGAGAGCAATGACCTTGATAAAGAAAGAATTTCCATTGCAATTCATCATAGATTTAATGCTTTGTTGTTATTGAATCCAAAACGATTCGTTTCTATTCTAATGCATAATTACAAGGACTTGCATCCGAAATTCATCAGAAATCTCGGAATTCCTTCAACAATTATTTTGTATTATGAAAGTTTGTTCGAAACAGAAGACGGAAAGCTTGCTACAAAGGAAGATGCCTACTACTTCATCGAGTTTCTCTACAAGAACAACATCGTAAAGTTCGTTTCTTTCGTTGAAAAACCATTTGTTTTGACTTTAGACGAAATCTATAATTTCTGCGAAGAGAAGAAGATCTACATTGGATGTGCAACGTATTTGGCCATCAAAGAAGACTTTTCGAAGTCATTTGAATACTATGAAAAACATTTGAACGAAGGAGGCCAAATGTGCCCTTCAATTTCGAGACTTCTAATGAAGAATATCCTCAAAATCTTTTCTGCAACACATTCCAAGGTCATTAGAACCATAATTAATCCATTAGTTTACGGAAGTGGCGGAGAAAACGATGCAGAGATGACAAGAGAGTTCATCGATATAGGATGCTCTTGTATTGATCGCCACGAAGTACTTTTGGCCGTTTTACCGTTAGTTACTTGCACATTAGACAAAAGTAGAGCGAGAACGACCATTTTGAAGTTCATTAAGAGCTTCAACTGCTTCTATGTAATGAACAAACCTAAAGATAGCAATCTCGCGAAGACATTACATAGAATTTCAGAAAATAGCCTTGAAGAAATCCTCACAAGCAGTTCGTTGACAGTTATTGATGGAGGAGATGGAGTTACTCTTCTCTCTACACTTGCAAGTGATGGCGAAAACGCAAAGAAGATGCCAGCAGATTTATTTAGCGATGTAAAGTCTGCTTTTCAAGGTGCTGAGTCCATTTTCGTTGAAGAAGGAAATAGAGTTAGTCAGGATATTGATGCAACAATTATCCTTCTTATTGATGTTTAAATTTACTTTTTTTTGTTTATTATCTAAATCAATAATTGTAATAATGTTTTTTCATCTTATGTTTTATAGGCTAATAAGTATTCACGTTTTATTTTAAAAATTTGAAAAAAATTAGATTACTTTGAAATCTATTAGTATCATTAAAGAAATATAAATAGGCAAATATTTGTTTGATGCTCCGCTATTATTGTCTGTTCACAATATGATTAATCTCTGAATTGAATTTCAATTTCTTGATTCTATCTTGTTTTAAATATGCATTATGATCTAATATGCAAGGGTATACACAAAAATACAATTTTTATTCACGAAAATTAATCAGTTCATTAATAATCATTATATCTTTATCATTAATTAATAATTAAAAAAAAAAGGTAGTGGGGCTTCCAGGCACTTCGTGCCCTCTAGCCCCAGTCACTTTTCTGTCACTTTTCAGGAAAAAACATTTTTATTATATATATAAAATGAATTTTACAAAACCACCGTTACCCTTCTTTGGAAATAAGAGTAGATGTAAAGATATTCTATTGAGAGAACTTAAGAAACTACCGAATGGTCTAACATTTGTAGATTTGTTCGGTGGAAGTTTCTATATATCCCATTTGTGCCATACCGTATTCCCAGACTCAAAGATTATATGCAATGACTTCGACAACTATATGAACCGTCTCAAACATATACCAGACACAAACAAAATATTGAGTGAGTTGAAAGAAAAGATACCTATAGGTAAGATGGAAAGTATACCATTAGATAAGAAAGATATTGTAAGAGAGGTTTTGAAAAAAGCAGAATATATAGACTGGGATAGTATATCTGCTAGACTATTATATAGTGGTGCTATAAGAGTTCATGACATTGAAACACTTATGTCAAAAGTTTTATATCTTAACTATACAAAGGTTTTCAAAAAGAACATAGAAAAATATATTGAGGGTATAGAGTTTGTGAGATGTCATTGGACAGAGTTGTATGAAAAATACAAAGACAAGGAAAATGTTTTCTTTATAGTGGACCCGCCGTTCTATAACACATGGGATTTTCAATACCAAGTAGACTGGACTTTGAGAGACTCTTTAGAAACTTTAGACGTTTTACATAACCATCCATGCTTTTACTTTACATCCGATAAAAGTGGTTTGGAAACCGTTATGAGATGGTTAGAGGACATACATGACTATGAGTTTAGATATGACAAGATAGAATATGAGAGAGGTCCTATAAACCGGAGAAAGTGTCACAACAAAGAAATTTTATTGGTAAGTAAATGTGGTTTGAAATAGGACTACTTGTTTTAGGTTTTTTCCATTGTGTCATTTACTTATTTGACGTGGCAGAAAGATATAGAGAATATGAAGATGAACCAATACCTGCAAATGTTCAGCATATGTACTCGTAAGAGATATTTTTATCTAATATTAAATGGACGCACAGAACTTAGCGAATGCACAGCAACCTGGACAACCAAACCCAGAGAATATTCCAAATGAAGTTAGAATACAAACTGCAATGGCAAACTATGGTCAAGTGCCAACAGATGTACAAATGCAAACTGCCATGTCAAATGACGCTGCGTTAGGTTTGCCACCATGGTATGCAAATATGAGATGGAAAGAGTTTTATACAAACCCTGAAGTGGGATATAAACAACTCTATGCAGATGACGCGAACACAGGAGTTGACCCGGAATATGTTTTCTACCAGAGGAGAAATAGAATGTATGAGCTCCAGTTAAAGAATGCAATGGAACTCAGAAGGAAACGTAAGAGACTAGGCGGACATTAGATTTTTACATATAGTAAAATGGGTTTCTTTGGAAGAATAGGAAACTTCTTTCGAAATGTTGGAAGAGGTATATGGAATGGAATAAAATCTGTCGGAAGAGGAATTTGGAACGGAGTCAAAAATATTGGTAAAAGAGTAGGTCAGTTCGTTGGTATTATACCTAAAGACCCTGAACCAGAAGAACAAGCTCCTGTTATACAACAGCCTGAACCTGCACCACAGTCTAGTTGGCAACCAAATCCAACACCTCAACCGTATTAAAAATTATATTTTTACCGTTCGATAGTAGTTGTATATGAAACTAAGTTCTAAGTAAAACGCGTGGTATAATGGAATTATTCTCTTTCTTCCATCTGTAGTAAACCATACTTGAAAGTCTGAAATACTTCCACTTGGTGGTTCATATAACTTTGTAGGTTTTTCGTAAAAGTCATTTGCCAAGCATAAAAAAGAGTTTTGTGCACCAGAAAATGAAGCATGAACTATAATAGCATCTGAGTCGAAAACATTTTCATATGTTCCATTAGGGTTTTCGACTTCATAAAAGTTCGGGTGTACTGGATATTCTGCAGGCTGATTTAACATCCTCAAAAATCTATACCATGCCAAGTTGTTATATTTTGTAGAAATATAAACGTCTTCTCCAAGGTCTTCTATTCTATTGATTTTAACAGTTGCATTTTCCTGTCATATATAATATCGAGATGGTACTCTCCTTCGTCAATGTTGTACTGTTTTGCATATTCGAGATAGATATCGTTTATTTTTTCTTGAAAAGCTTGAAGAGTTGTTTCTAAGTTTACAAGCAAACTAACTTGTAAAAGTTTTCCCTGTACAAATTTCTCATACGCACGTTTTTTTTGTTATAGTATCGAACTTCAAAACCGACCGTAAATGGGAAACCATGTATGGCTTCTGAAATGAACTTCATTCTACGAAAGCCAACAGCTTTTGTGACGGATGGGTCTCTTAACCATCTCAATGGGTAGTCAAAACGATAGCCTTCATGCTTTACGGTCTCTGTCTCAAACTTTTGACCTACATTAGTAAAAAGTTCATCTAATGGTTTAGTTGTAGCAACTCTAGAATTTTCTTTTTCTATTGAAAGCATATTTTATCTAGAATAAAAATGTCGAAAGAAACAGCGTCTATGAGAGAAATACAACACAACCGACAACTCATTATACAAGCTCTAAATAAGAACACAACAAACTTTTCAAACTATTCTAAGATATCTGAGTCATTGAAAGAAGGAAACTTAAAACTGACAATGAACCCAATGACAGATGAGTTTCTGTTTCAAGACAATAAGAACCATACTGTCTGTATAAATCCAACAAAAGGACTTTTAAACGAGAAACCTATAAAAGAACTTCTTTTGAAAGCAGATGTTGACAACAAAGCTGACAAAGAGTATGTCATTGAAAAAGTTCAAGAAGAACATGACAGAGCAGATGCAACATATGCAACAAAAGCAGATGTTGACAACAAAGCTGACAAAGAGTATGTCATTGAAAAAGTTCAAGAAGAACATGACAGAGCAGATGCAACATATGCAACAAAAGAACATACTCATCCTGAACTAGCAGACAAAACATATGTTGACAATAAAATGTCAAGTGAAGTGACAAGAGCTGAAAACGAATATTCTAAAAAGACTCATACACATACCATTGCAAATATTACAAACTTACAAGAAACCTTAAACAGGAAAAGTGACGTTGGACATACACATACCATTGCAAATATTACAAACTTACAAGAAACCTTAAACAAGAAAAGTGACGTTGGACATACACATACTATTGCAAATATTACAAACTTACAAGAAACCTTAAACAGGAAAAGTGACGTTGGACATACACATACTATTGCAAATATTACAAACTTACAAGAAACCTTAAACAGGAAAAGTGCCGTTGGACATACACATACCATTGCAAATATTACAAACTTACAAGAAACCTTAAACAGGAAAAGTGACGTTGGACATACACATACTATTGCAAATATTACAAACTTACAAGAAACCTTAAACAGGAAAAGTGCCGTTGGACATACACATACTATTGCAAATATTACAAACTTACAAGAAACCTTAAACAGGAAAAGTGCCGTTGGACATACACATACAAGTTTTACAACTTTTACAGCAGATGATATTACACTAAACACAACCTTGCCAAGTAAAGCTCCAACAATACCACCGGCAACAAGTCTTGTAGATACTTTGATATCTAATGACAATAGTATTATGCATCTAAGACAGGAACTCAAGGTGCTTAAACAAATTTTGCCGAATCTTATTTACCCGGTTGGCTCATTATATGTTTCAATGAACTCTACCAGACCAGAAGTAGTACTTGGTTTTGGAACTTGGACTCAAATAGTCGACAGGTTTTTGTATTGTGCAAACTCTTCAAAGGAAACAGGTGGAAGTAAAACGATTTCAGGTGAAAATTTACCTGCACACAGTCACTACGTAGATTTAACTACATCTCTAGAAGGTTGGCATAAGCATAGATATTGGGATTGGACAGGAATGACAAAAGGTAAAGGATATGATGTTAAAGACGACGTTCAGTTTGCTATAAATTGTTACTGGGATGACACTCAGGGAGGAGGAAGCCATACACATTTGGTTTCAGGATATACGCAAACAACGGGACAAAGTAAAGACTACATGCCACCTTACATGACAGTTTACGCATGGTATAGAAATGCTTAGTCGTCATTTTCAACTTCTTTAGCATATTCGTCAGGAGTTGTCTTATATTTGTTAGGAACTGTCTTTGAAAGTATACCACCTTGAACTTTGACAAGTTTGAAACGAGGTCTGACAATAGTAGTTTTATCTTCTGCTTGCAGTCTGTACATTTTGCCATGTTTGCCTAAAACTTCATAATATTCTCTTGTATACTTTCTTCTATTTTTACGAACACGAACGTGAGTACCTGTCGGGTTCCCATTGTTGTCATAGTCAATAGTATTTTCATATGGGTCGCGTTTAGGTATTTCTATTTTTACTTTGTCACCTTTCTGAAGTTTGAAGCCCGGCATTCTTTCTTGTTCTCTTTTGACTAAATTGTTAAATATATAGTCTTTCTCTAAGTCAGGGTTGTTTTTCATTTCTTCAGGGGAGTGGTTTCCCAAACCTTTTTGTTTACGGCTATTGTAAATATTTAAAACTTGTCTCATCTTTGCCATGGAGAAGTGTCTATATTTGTCGTCATATGACATTTCATTTGCTTCACCACCTTGTGGTTGGTTTAAGTCTCTTAACATTTTTATACAACTGTCAATGACACCAAGAGCAGAATGGTTTTGGTCGACAATGAAATATTGGTTTACATTTTTTGAACGCAGATAGTTTTTAATATCGTCTGATTTGAAAGAACTTTCATAGTCAGATGTCAGTTTTGTTGGATGGTATTTGTCAACGAATATTGTCAAAGCAGTTTTCACATCTAAAATATTTTTGGACCATAATGGTATGGCTTCACAGTATCTTGTGTTTTGACCAACAAATATTAGCCAGTATGGTGGTCCATCTTCTCTATACCTCGGAATGTTTTCCAAGATATCCATAAACCAAGCATTTGGTGTTGAACTAAAGATTTTTACCATGAGTGCTTTCTTTGTCGCTTTAGAAACATAGGGGTCCTTGTTTGAATTCGTCATTTTTAACCCATAAGAAATGGGTTTATTTGGCGCATTAGCAGGAGTCGCATCCAGATTTTTGCCAGCAGTGGGAACAATAGCCAGAGGTGTATTTGGAGTTGGAAGGAAGATTTTGAGTACATTAGGTATACTGAAAGAGAAAGCACAACCTATTATACAAACTGTACAGAAAGGTTGGGAGGTAGCACGAGATGCAACAAATCTTATTCCAAATCCTGAAACAAGAGGAAAAGTTCAAGGATGGATGGACAATGTAGGAAGACAAGCAGGAAACTACTATAACAAAGCAAATGACTACTATAACCAAGCAGGGCACTATATGGACCAAGGTGAAAGATTCTTTAACAGAGGATATAACCATGCACAACAGTGGGTAAACAACAACCAACCTCAACCGCCTCAAACGTGGGGAATGTAAAATTTTTTACTGAGATGAAATGAACAATACAGCATTGAGACAAATGGGTTCAAGATGGATTTGTCGGCTTCCAGCAGTTACACCACCACGTGTTTGTCAAGTTCTTCCTATACCTCAGGAAGTTTAGACCGACTTAAAAAACCTAAACAACCAGTTGAAAACAAACCAAACTAAAATTTTTTACTGAGATGAAATGACCGAAGAAGTTGAAACGGTAGATTTGACACCACAAACAAAAAGTTCAGAACCATTGTCAAAACCTGTCAAAGAACTTACAGATGAAGAGAAAAATTCAATAATAGAAAGTGCCAGGTCTGGAAATACAAACTCTAACTACAAAGTCACTTTTCATAAAAATGGAACGGCAAGTATCTCAAAAAAGAAACAGACTCTCACAAATAAAATATTGAAGTCTGAAGGAGCTTTCGAGACAACAGATGGAAAAGTTTACTTCACTGACCAACAGTTCATTATAGAACATCTCATTGACTTAGAGTCGAAATATTCTAAACTTTACAACAAACACAAAAAGTTGAAAGGAAAACAAAAACAAATGGCATATGATATTTATGAAGATGTTGACGACACAACTGTTCCTGCAAGTGAGGTAAAGTCAAAGGAACCGAAAAGTGACGAAAAACCAATAGAAGAAGAAAAACCAAAAACTGAAGATAAACCAAAACCAAAGTTTAGTTTCCAAACTAAACCAAGTCAACCTTCATTAGCTGGTATGGGTTGGCGTCAAAGACTTATGGCAGCAGGCGGTTATGTAAAGTAAAGAAAAAAATATTTTTTTATTTTTATAAAAATGCCCCCATATAGAATGGACAGAAAGTCTGCTAGAATAAAAGCAGAGTTGCAAAGATATGGTTGGAGAGTTTCGAAGAAGTTTAAATATAGGAAGGGAAGACCCATAAAAGTCTATGACAAATTGTCTGGTCTTCGCTACGAAATGGATTTGGAAACAGCACGTGCAAATTATCCAAACAGACTAGAGAGGTTAGAAGAAGAACGTCTTATGACATGCCTTTCGATGTTAGTGAACCTCAAGTTGAAGGACACGACGGCTTTGCCAGATTCTACTGGAAACATGACGAACAATTGCATCCTTTGAGAAGGAAAAAAGGAAAAGGTGAAGACACACATGCTCCCATGGAAAGAACAAGATATGCATATGAAAAGTATCGTGAAGTTAGAAGTCAAATTACATCTGGTCGAACCTTTACAGTAAACTTTGACGAAGGAAAGAACAAAGAAGGCTTCATGGGTGTACTTGCTGCAATTCAAGACGGAAATAAGAAAGGACACAATCTCAGATTGACCATAACAGATTTGGATGGTCACATTTACTATGCACATGGCAATGTCACAACAGCTGCAATGCTTCTTGACGCTTTCAAGACTACAAAGAGAGAACAAATGGTTGACTCCGACTCAGACATTTTGAATGCAATTGAAGGAATTGCAAGCGTCAAGTTCGAATGGTACCAACCTAACCCTCAAGCAGTCAGACAACATGCTGGATACTTCCCGTTCAGAAATAAGTCTGACATTGACTTGACAAGGTATGGAATTTACAATTCAATTGAAACAATTGTCAACGAACCTTGTATTCTTACATGTCTCAGGAACTCTGGTCTTGTTACAGATGAGAAGATGAAGTATCTTGAGTCATGTGTGAAGACAAGGTACATGCTCAGAGGTCAATTGGCTAAAATTGCACCGTTGGCAAATGTCAATATCCGAGTCAACATTCCGACTGAGAAAGGTTCTTCACACGACGACTATGTTGTTGACAAAGACTTACCATGGTTGAAGATTGTAATTGTCCACAACCACTTCATGTTGAACGAAAGTCTTACAAACCCATTGTTCGGAAAAGGCAAGTGCAACATTGTCAGAGCTGTTAACATTCTTTTCGAGAAAGGTTTGTTGGAACCAATTCCAGATGACAAGCTGACAGAAACTTTTGTACCAAAAGACGAAACAAACTTTTCATTGTTAGCAAGACCAAAAGTTGTTCCAGACAAAGTTATAGTACAAAAGAAGTACACAGTTCCACAAGGAGTTGGATTGTTCGGATACCAACCTGAACCAGAAGAACTTCCAATGAGGTTGCAAGAACTTCAAGATGCTATAAACAAACTTCCATTGAGACATCCAATTGACGTCAAATTGTATTGGAGAGCTTCTGAGTTAGGTCAGAAGGTTTTATATGAAACAGGTTGCTTCGACGATGTTTATGAGATAACAGGAGAAGTTTCTCAGAAGATAAGAGACTCACTTGAATTTCCACAAACTGGACCAATTGGTTGCGACAAGTTCGACTCAGATGAAAAAATATACTATGTCGACCTTAACGCTGCATACATGAGGTTTGTCCAATATATTCCGACTGGAATTCCAAACGAAGATGGTGAGTTCCCGGGAAGGAACTATACAGTTGGAAAAGTCATACAACAACTGTATGATATTAGGAAAGCTTCAAACCCCAAACTTGCAATGACACTCAAATTGCTTATGAATTCGACATGGGGATATTCCATTAAGAAACCTCAAGCGATGAAGAGTAAACACTATGAGAAGGTCGACAACTTTGTTGAAAGGTTTTCTCCTTTTGTTTTGAAGTACGAATTTACTCAAGGTCAAAGTGGCTTAGTAACCACATTAAAACCTATTGTCGAACATTGGTCTTACCCTCAGTTCGCAAAGGCAGTCCTTGACAACTACAACAAATTCTTCTCCGAAGTCAAATCCAAAGTTGTGGTTTACTATGAGAACATTGACGCACTCATGACGAACGAAGAAGGATACAACAAACTCATTGAAATGGGAATGGTCGGTGAAAAGATGGGTCAATTCAAATTGGACAAAATTTTCACCGAAGTTCATGTCCTCTCCAAGCGTAAGTACTGGGGCATACTTGAAGACGGCACAGAAATAAAACATTGTATGAAATAAAAAATTTTTATTCGAATTTGAATTTAAATGTGGGAATTCTTGGGAACGTGAAAGGCTTATTTACTTGAGGAACAGGTAAAGGTGGTGGCAACCAGTCCATTTTATATTCCTTCCTAGCTAATTTCCGTTTAATTTCATGGTCGCCCTCGGAGTCTTTGAATCGGACAGGTCGAGTTACACCATTCTTGGTCTCAAACTCATATATAACCTGTTTGTCTGTATTTTCGTCGACTATGGCACGAGACACGAACATTGACCAAACGGACAAAAAGTGTCATTTCAGATGGTCAAGCAGCCAATCGCATTCGAGCACTTCGAAGAAGCCTTACGTTCCAAGGGAGAGGGTGTCTGGTGCAAGGCAGAGGTCATGAGACTCTACGAGCAGTACATCCTCAATGCCTGGGAGGACAAATCGTCCTTGGATTGGCAATTCTACCAACTCCTCTGGGACGACCTCCTACGCAACTGGGATGACGAAAGAGTCCAATTCAAAGGTCAGGAACTACTTATCCAAATTATCTTTAATTTAACCTACTTATCCAACTAAAAACTTAAATTTACTCGGGGTTTCCCCCTAAAATAAAATTTTTTTACTCTTAGAACCACTCGAGGTTCTCCTTACGGTTGTTGAGCTTGTCACCGTCAATGTGTCTGACCTTCGTCTTCTTGTTTGGATTTGGAACCCATTGCATACCGACAAGCCTTCCCATGGAAATTGTACCGTAATTCCGAAGGGTAAGGCTCAAGTGTCCCAAGTTGTTGAGGACTGGGGTAAGAACCTTGCCGGTCTCCTTGTTGCGGATTTTGTATGGGTAGGGTTGGGAAATTTCGTAACCGTCATCGGCAACAAGGGTTGCCCAAACTTCCTTTTCTTCGTGTTTCTCTTCTTCTTCCTCTTCTTCTTCGTGTTTCTCTTCTTCCTCGAAAATTCCTTCTTCAATTTGGTACTCACGAAGTACGGTGTTGCATGTTCTGTCCTTTCCGAGTACCTTCCAGATGGCGTCTATCTCTTCGAAGAAACGGTAGATGAGTCTGGCAAGGTCTCGGTTCTCTCTCTCGTAATTGCGCAAGGTTTCCGCGAAATCGTTCAGGCATTTCTCATTGGAAGCTTGGTTCATGAGGAACTCACCTTTGAGATTGGTCATCTCTGTCATAAGACTACTTTGGAGAGTCTTAATGGCGTTTGTCAGATGAGCGTTCAATTGGACAATTTGAAGTTGAACTGGGCGCTTGTCTGACAACCTTGAAAGGACATCTGCCATCGAGTTTGGCTTCGGTGCTTGTTCGGACATCGAAAAAATGAAGTGGTTTGAGAATGACGGTTTTACTTCAAAAAGCTTGTTATGACGGTTAAGTCATACAACAAGTTTAAAATAATATCTTGTTCTTCTTCTGAACGTTTGTTGTCTCTTCCGATAAAAGTTTCGAACATGAGAACCAAAAAACGTTTTTTGAGATTGCGGAAGAGTTCAGGCAAACGTTCATATTCTGGATATGTTGGGAGCAGTTCGAAACATCTGAGCTGACTTTCGGACAAAATTGGGACAATGTCAACAAATTCATCTTTGGTCGGACTGCTTGAAGGTAAGTCCCTTACATGTAAGTAGCTCTGGTAAAGTCTTCTCATTTCTGCTAACTTTTGGAGTATAGCTTCGTAGTTTAGAAGTTTTAATTTTAATTGTCTTATTCCACTCTTGACATCTAAACGGTAACTATCCATGAGGTCAAGAGTAGCTTTGGTAGCTTTAAGTGGAGCTATCTGTTCCTTGACTTCTGCAATTTTGGTTGCAATTGTGATTTGAGCTCCTTCAAGTTCGCCGTCTATGTCGTTCTCAACACCTTCAACCATAGCTTGAAACTCTTCATCGGTCCATTGAGTTTGGTGTGGGACGAATTTAACTTGCTTCATTCAAAAATGAAAAAATGTTTTTACTCAAAGCGTGCCATGTATATGGCTATAAGAAACTTACCAGAAGGCTTCTTCTTCACATGCGTAAAAACATAAAAAAGTGAAGTTAAAATGAGATGTTTAAAGAACTGGCTGAATGTCGCCTTCACAGGTTATGTAGAACGGCTGACCCGAGAAGTGAAGGAGAGACTGAATTGCCAATTTCATATGGGGTAGGGGGTTCTCCTTGTTTGGTATTTTTATCCAAGGACGTTTGTTTAGGAACTTAACAAGAGCTTCTCTTTTGGCGTCCTTTATGTCATCGTAGGCTGTCCCGTCTGGTATTTGAATTGGAATTCCAGTCGAAGTCTCGAGCTGAAGTGTAGACCTTCCAGAAATAGAGATGAACTTGACCTTGGGCTTCATGACCTTGCGCAAGTAGTCTTTTACGCAGTCGTTAATTTCAATTAGGTAAATTGCCTCGTCAAGTCCTTCTTGCATTCCAAGTTCTTCCATCCGACAGGAAAATATTTTCCTTCCGACAGGAAAAATTTTTCCTTCCGACAGGAAGAACTCTTCCAGTTGTCCGTCCGTAAACCATTCAAATTTTCGAAAATTGAGAACTTTTTGGTCGAACTTCAGAAAAAGTTTTTCCTTCCGACAGGAAAAGTTTTTCCTTCCGACAGGAAAAATTTTTCCTTCCGACAGGACACAAACGGATGACTGACGTTCCTCTTCCTGAATGCCTTCCAAAGCCAGAAAAACCGAAAGCTGCAGAACCACAACAGTCTCCTCAGCAACCACAACAACCTCAGTTCCAGCAAGTACTTCCACCAAATTACTACCAATTTCCACCTCAAGGTTACTACCCACCACAAGGCTTCCCGAACTACCCTCCTCCTCAGCTTATGCCTTACTGCCCCAACCCTTGGATGTTCCAGCAAGCTCCACCCCAGCAATTCCAATCTCAATCCCAATCGAAGAGAGACCAAGACTTCGAAGAAGGTCTGAACCGCTTACGCAAAGAGTATGCTACAGCTCCAATGGAAGACGACAGGCTTTCAGTCTCTTCCCTCAAATCGACCGATTCGACTCGTACCACAGATTCGGTCAAAGACAGAGACGACTACCTCAAGCAGTCTGAGAGACTCTTCATCCTACAACCATTTACAGTTGGAGCTCTCAAGAACATGCGCAATTACGAAGGTCAGACACCAGCTGGAGACCGCAAAACAGACGTACTCGCAAGAGCCGTCCAGCTCGTCAAAACAAAGACGGAGATAGTCGACTTCATACTTGCAGCTTGCCCATACAAGTAAAAAAATAAACAATTACGAGTTAAACTTTTTATTCTTTCTTTTCTGAGTTGTTTAGAACTGGTTTCTCTTGTAGGAACCTTTCGTACTCTTCCACGGTCATGTAATCGCGAATTTGGTACGCAATTCCAGGTTCGTTGTTTTTGAACCTTACGTATGTAACGCTTCCATCCTCCTCAGGGAAGTAAGCTGCTAACATCTGACCAAGTTTTCTCGGTGACTCGGAGCTCATTAAAAATGTCACTTTTTAAACGTTAAGTTTTTAGTCTTATTTTACCCTTTGTTTGTCAAGGTAGTATTGGAGCGCAATTTCTCCAAATTCTCTGTGTCGGAGTTCTTCAGCATTTTCCAAGGTGTACCTGGAGAACTCAAAAGAAGTTGTCAAGAACATACTGCCATGCTGCTCTTCTGAGTTCGTCGGTATTTTGGAAGTGTTGCACCTTCGAGTCTTCTGACATGAAAAAAATGACCAAATTTCATTATATAACTGTTATTTTTTACGAAGTGAACTTTTGCACTTCGTTTAAAATACACTATTTTTGTGTTATTTTTTACGAAGTGAACTTTTACTCTTCGTAAAAAAAATCCCTGAAATCGTGAAGAACAGCGAGTAGGTAAAAAAACCCAGTCGCCAAAACTCATGAAAATCGTGAAAAATTGCGAGTAGGTAAAAAACCGTAGTCGCCAAAACTCTATGAAAATCGTGAAAAAATGACCAAATTTCATGATATAACTGTATTTTTTTGACGAAGTGAACTTTTACTCTTCGTCAAAAAAATTCCTGAAATCATATCTTTTATACAAGATAGAAAAAATAAAATAAAGTTAGTTTTTTTATAAAATATTTTTTTTTATTTTGTATGTAAGAACAGAAAATGTTAAAGGTTGAGTTTGAAACAGTTAAAAAGATAGACAATGACACCAAAGTGGTTAGAATAGGTGATTTAAACGTAAGATACTCAAAGAAATACAACAAATATTCTTTGTCAGACATTATATCTCCATCTGGAAAGAAAACATACCATTGGGTTGGAATTGCTTCAACTCAGAAAATTTTGACAAGAAATCCTGAGCTTATGATATCGGTAAGATTCTGTGGAACTACAGCATATCTCATTGACAAAAGTCTTATACCAATAGTTTTGTTATGGATTGACCCAGTTGTTGGATATAACTTCATAACATATGGTTCATTCGATACGGAACGTTGCAGTGAAGGCTTACTTTGCATCGTTCAGAAACCGAAGGACTTCAATACAAAGAGATATAAGATAGGAAGAACATATAATATAACTCAAAGATATGACAGTATAGTCAATAGAGTCAAGGTTGTGTTTGTGAATGATATGAGAGCTGCTGAAACAGAACTACTTGAAAAGTTTGAGAAAATGTATGGTGCTCCCATAAAAGGTAAAGAAACGTTTGAAGTAGATGAGATAGATAAAGCTATAAAATTATTTGACGAAGTTGCTGAAAAATACATGTAAAGCGTTTATTTTTGGTCTTTTGTGAAAGTCAGATGGCTCAGGTAGCTCTATAAGGTAAATTGTCTTGTCAAATCCTTCTGGCATTCCGAGTCCTTCCTTCCGACAGGAAAAAATTTTCCTTCCGACATTCCGAGTCCTTCCTTCCGACAGGAAAAAATTTTCCTTCCGACAGGAAAAAAATTTCCTTCCGACAGGAAAAAATTTTCCTTCCGACAGGAAAAATTTTTCCAGTTGTCCGTCCGTAAACCATTCAAATTTTCGAAAATTGAGAACTTTTTGGTCGAACTTCAGAAAAAGTTTTTCCTTCCGACAGGAAAAATTTTTCCTTCCGACAGGAAGAGTTCTTCCATCCGACAGGAAAATATTTTCCTTCCGACAGGACACAAACGAATGTCCGACGTACCACCAACCGAGTCCATTCCAAAGCCAGAAGAACCGACAGCCCCAGCACCACAACAGACTAAGACTAAACACTTACATTTTCAAGCTTGACTTTTTACAATTTGAACTTTGTTTGCGTAGATATGAATTCTGAAAGAAGTATGAGGGTCTTGTATGACTTTGTACTTCTCCCATAGTTCATGTCTGTCAAACTTACCTGCCATGGACTCTTTCATAAGTTCCATGAAATCGTCTTCGGACAATCCGGGGAAAAGTATAATATCAGTAAGTATTCTCTTTACATCCTTACTTAAACTCTTGGCTGTCTGTACACAAATGACAACTGAGATGTTAAAGTGTCTGAGCTTCTTAAGAATTCGACACATGTCTTGTTCTCTGTTCTTTAACAAAGGATGAGAAGCAAAGTCATCTAAGATAAGAAGACATCTGTGAGGGTAAGTCTTCCAATCGTAAGATTGCAATTTCTTCGAAATGTATTCTATCTCTTTCTGTTTGTTTCTGAAGTGTTTCTTCTCTAATATTCTCTGCATTTCCTCATTTGGGTCTTTAAACTTCGAATTGACATACTCATTTATAGCATTGTACTTCAAAACTCTTCTTTGGTACTTCTTTATCCAATCCAACAACTCAGAGTCTTTTATACATACTAACTTAGACTTTTTTATAATATCTTTGAACGAATTGACGGTTTGGTCAAATTGACCCGAAGTACTACAAATGACTACTAACTCATAGAATGGGTTCTTCTCATCTAGTTCTTGTTGTTGTGCAGCCATTTTAAGATAAGTGAAAGTCTTACCAGACCCAGGTGGTGCAATTAGACCTGTTATACCATTCTGAGCAAATAAGAACTTGTCATGTATGGGTTTTATCTGAGCATTTTCTAACTTCCTCTTGTTCTTGTTTAAAACATTCTCAAATTTCTTGTCAATGTCAGCAAACTTTTTTTCTAACATATTTTTAGAAAAATTAAAATTTTTATCTTTTAGAAAATGTCTAGCGATTTCGCTATCTATATTCGAGACAAGCTTTTCGACAGCAAAACATCTGTCGACCATAAAATCTTACATAGTGTAAACAAGAAAGGGGAATTTGTTCTAAAGTTCTGTTTCTGGGAATATGACAAGAACCATAAAACATTAAGCAGAGCAGTCTTAAAATTTGTCAATGACAGACTTGTTGACAGAGATGACGCCTCTTGGAGAGATGAAGTCCAACAAAACTTCTTAGAATGCAAAGAAGACACATGCGCTGTTCTTGAAAATGAAATAGAAAACAGAATAGAAGAGCTATTAAATGACAAAGCACTTTTACAAAAATATGGTTCTGAGAAGTTTGACATAACTCCACCAGAAAAGAAGAAGAGAGAAAAGAAAGAAAAGAAAGTAGAAGAAGAGAAGAAAGAACCAGAGCCAGTTCCAGAGAAAAAGAAATTTGACATGTAAAAATAAAATTTTATTTTTAGAACATTTCTGGGTCAATGTCAATGTTCTCTTCCTCTTTAGGAGCAAACACTGGCTTAGACTCTAAAATCTTTTTACCCAATTTACCTTGAACTTCTACAACTTTAGACTCATAATATTCATAGTCGTCTGCTTTCTTTGGTTCATAAGGTATAACAAGTTTGTATGCTTTGCCTTCTTTAAGGTTTGAGAACCTTCTGTCAAAACTTTCTTTGACTGTTAACAAACCTTCTATGTCTAAGTCTTCAAATTTCGCACCATTTTTAGTCACAATAGCAAACTTAACTGGTTCGATGTTCCAAACTTTGTCAAATGTAGACTTTTCAAAATGGTAGAAGTAAACATTCAAATATGTGAATGGGTCTAGTTCTTCTTTAAGTCCTGACATGTACTTGTTTACTGAGATGAATTTCGTCATCTTTTCTATCGGATAAAAAAATATTTTTTTTTAAAATTTACTCAGAAAAATTTTTCTTTGTATATACACCATTCTGTACGTCTAAAAGACTTTTGACATTTGCCAAGAATGTTCGTTTAGACGCTGTCATATAACCATACTCTTGACAATATTGTTTATACGAATCGTACAATGACCTTTCATCTAAACACTCAAAGTCAGTTTCATCTATGAACAGTTCATATACACTCTTGTTTGCTTCTAACAATGTTTGTCTCTCTTCGGTATGTGGAATTTGTCTTGGATTGAACTTAGAAATATCTAATGTCATGAAATATGAGAACAAGTGGTTGTAAAAGTCAGATGTCAAAGTTTCTGCTAAGTCGTCAAAATATTCTGTATCTTGCATATGAGAATCTGACGTTCTGACAACTACATATCTTCTGTCAGAACTTTCTAACTTCATCGGAACGGCATTGTTTGAAACCATGACGAAGTTTGCAACATTTTCACAAACTCTTTGGTCTCTATACTTTCTTTCAACAACTCCAACTTTGTCTGTTATAAGACTCTTCAAAGCATCTGAGTTCAAAACTTTTGTTGTATCTATACTTTGAAGTTCGTTACATACTATAAGTTTCATATTCTCTATTGAAGAGTTAAATTTACCGCAGATGTTTTCTAAGTTTGTCATATTCGGGTTCGAATAGCCCTCTAACAGTTTGCATAAGATATCTGTAAAGAAAGTGTTCTTACCAGTTCCTTGTTTTCCAATTATGATGAGAGCAGTTTCATTTTTAGCACTTGGATGTTGTAAGATGTTTGCAAACCAACATAAGATATACTCATAGACTCTTTCGTTTCCATTGCATATAATTTCTTTGACATGGTCTAACCAAGCTTCTATAACATTTTCTTTCCATTCTACTTGTTCGTATTTATATCCAGTGAAGATAGAATAGAAGTTTGGAGATGGTGTATAGAACTTTATACCACGAACTGAAAAATCTTCTAACTTTGACAATAAGATATCCCAAGCATCTAACATCTTCATGCCAACTTGTACGACTTTTATTTTCTTAAGTTTCTGTCTACATTCTTGTTCTGAAACTATTGTTGCTCTTGGTTTGTTAAAGACAACATCCCATTCTTTCATGACATAACATTCTGGGGCAGAGTCAACATAAATGACTAAACGTTTCAAATTCTCGACTGCTTTGTTATAGTCTCTAAATGGACACATATTTCTGAAGGCTTGGAAGTCATAAAAATCTGAAACATCTATTCTGTACATTTTTATAAAAATAAAAAAAAATATTTTTTTTATTCTTGACTTTGTTGTTGCATTTGTTCCATTTGTTGCATTTGTTGTTCTTGAGCTATTTGTTGTTGAAGTTGTTCTTGTAGTACAATACTTTCACCAGTTGCATCTTCCAATTCGAAACTTTCTGCCGTCATTGACAAATACATAGGACATAAAAGTTTTACAGGAACAAAGTTTGCGTCAACTAAGGTTAAGTTTATGTTTGCTAAAGTGTTTGAGTTTACTAAAGCTGAAAACTCTGCATTCGAATGAACAATAGGCAAACCAGCAGAGAAAGTGTTGTTTATACGCATGAGTATCTTTTGGTCATAGTAGTTTCTGTCGACATTCGAATAGCACTTTGAACCTAAGTTTGAAACAATATATAAAATAGGTGTACTTAAAGTCAATGGAACAGACAAACCTTGTATGACACCTTTTCCTGTTATAGGAAACTGTTGGTAGTAAAAACCAGATATAAGTTTTGTATTATAGCTCATATCGTTTATAGTAAACTCAGTCGGACATCCAAACATAATGAAACCTGCTCTAGTTGCAGCACATGTTACATCCGTCCTTAAAGTATTAAATAAGTCAACAAAACCTGTTGGTGGTATATCTGAGTAAGTATCTTCAAAGGAGTATTTTTTACCATTCACAACAATAAAATCTTCTGGTGTCAAAAGAGCAAAACAGGCTTTAGTCGTCATCGTGTTTAAGGTCAGTTTACAATATCGTCCTTGAGGACTTTGTAAGTTTGTTGTTATAGAATTATATGACTCAGGGTTTTTAGTCGTAATAGTATAAACCACTATGTCTTCTGCCATTTACTTAGCAACTAAATTTTAATGAAATGTTGTGGTCGTCAAATATTTTTATAACGTCTGGGAAACTATATTTTAAGTTCAACGTTTCACCTCCTTTCATAACGTATATCTTGTCAATGACATTATATGAAACACCACAGCAAGCAATGTCGGGTTCTATTTCTTTGATGTTTATATCGTCTGCCTCTGTCAAAAGTTTCAATAGTTCTTTCAAAACTTCATGAGGTGCAATGACATATGAGTTCACTTTTACAGGGTTGTGTTCGACCAAGTTTAACATTATACCTAAAGCTTGACAAATCTTCTCCTGAGTTTTAAGTTTGTCTTTCAGTTGTTGGTAGTCGTTTCGAATATCTGCAACAGAACTTAAGTCTCTGCTAACTTCAGGATATGTTGGTTGTTCTTTTACAGGAACTATTGTTATACCATCTTCGTCTTCGTATGGTTTCCCCACTTCAACATCTCTGTCTTTGACATTGACAACAACACTTTGACTGTTTGTTTGAGTTGGTGAATTTAACTTCACATCTGCCACCGCCATTAAACCTTTTGAAACACTTACGCTTCTATTTTTCGGAAATGACATTTTACTTAGAATAAAAAGATGGACGTATTTGAGTATCTCTTCGAATTGAAGCAAAACAAAGTTTACACACACAAACAATACAAATACACTGATAGAATAGTTCTTTACACAAACAATGGAAAATGTTATAGAATAGCAGTCTTTGCTGAACCAAAATATTTTCATAAAGCAAAGAAAGTTTATAACTGAAATGGTGAAAGTTCTTGACGTTGACAAAAATATAACAACAAAACTGACCGATATTTCTAAAGGTAAGTTTATAATACAATACTATGTCAAAACTGGCGTACTGTCAATATTTGACGGAGAGAAGTCAGTTCAAGAACAACTTACTGACCTGCTGCCAAAATCTGCTCGATGGAAGCTGTCGTTATACCAATCTGAGGAGCCCCAGCAGGTTTCATCGAACGAATCTTCAAAAGAGCATCTTCCGTGAAAAGTGCTATTGGTTTTGTAAACTTCTTTGCTTTCAATTCATCTGGACCGTCTCTGTCACCAGTATATTGTATTTGAACTGTACCAACAGTTGAAATACCACCATAAGTCTTCTGAGTCAGCAAATGGAATGCCAAGCCAAAATTTGAACGGTCTCTATTTGTATATTGAGTTTTTTGACCTCCTGTATGAGTCCATACTTTCACATATGGCATAATAGAACTTTGCATTTCAGGGTTAATGGTTGTTGTGAAGTTGTTGTTAAAGTTCATAGCATCTAATGTCAAGTTGTATGACCTCATATCTTCAACTGTAGAATATTCTTCTCTTGGATAATATTTGCCATCTATGTTTATATGATATTTAATACCAGGGTTGTAGAAACAAGAATAGTCATTTATAGTTCGTCTGAACAGTACAAACATAGTATCTGCATGTTTCATTGCAGTTGTTAAAGCAATATCTGTTCTTGCACCTGGTCAGCACTTTGGTTTCCAACTTCACCTGCAAAGTCTTTGACAGATATTTGGTGTATAGGGAACATAAGTGGAACTGCAATATATTTGGCAGCTAAAGCATTTGAAATATCTGGGTCCAACATATAGACTGCAAGTCTGCTTTCTATTCTCTTGCATTCAAATTTTTCGCATGTGAACTTAACTGGGTCCCAAGCAGTTCCAGCAGCATTGAAATAATAGTTTACTTCAGTGTGAGGTTTGAGAAACCAAAGTCTAAGTCAACTTTGTCTTTGCAAAATTCGGCGAATGACGTTTGATTTGCTCCTTTACGTCTGTAAGAGTGAATGGGTCTTGTGTTGGTGCAATGACTAAGTTATTTTTGCTTGGAGTAAGTTCGATAGAAATTTTTCCTGCCCAGTTTGGCAAGTATCTTAAAAACCTGAAGATGAGGAAAGATGACAAAGGAACTCTAAGTTTCAGTTTTACTTTGGTTACTGCTGCTGCAGTTTGTCCAGAAAGGTTAACATAAACTCCTGGAACGTTAGGGTCAAGTCTTCTTATTTTCTCAATAGTTGCATACTGGTCTGTTTGTTCTCTAGCTTGTGGTTGTACTGAGTTTCTCAAAGCGAACCATTCATAGTTTGCCCATGTTACTGTTTGAACTAAGTCAGAGTTAGAATATATCTTATATCCCATGAAAACTTCTGGAGCATATTGGTATCCGACATAGAAAATTCCATTGCAACCTTTCTTGTCAGACAACTTGGCAGAAGGTTTTATTTCAATGTCTTGTTCCACGTATAAGAAAGAGTTGTCAATAGAAATAATATGAAACCTGTCGCAAGCAATATCTACTGTTGTTGAAGAACCTTCACCAAACTCACCTACGTTTCCATAAGAAACAGCAGTTGTATATTCGTAAGTTCCAGGAACTATTTCTGACCTTCTAATGGCATTGTCGCATTCGTTATACCATTCGGAAACATTTCCATTCATGGCATCCAAAACTGTTGGCGTTATATTCTGAGCGGCGTACATTTCATATGGGTAAAAATATAGAATAGTTGGATTTATGTGTCATAATAGAACCCACTCCGACCAAGCTTTACTTTCTTCCTGACTGAGTTTTTAACTCTTCTTTTTCTTTCATTGCCACTACTTTCACTAGATGAAGTTACTTCTTCACTACTTTCACTTTGTTCTACTCTTCTCTTCTTCTTTGGTGTCGCTTTTGGTAACTTGCCCTCTGCTTCAAGTTGTTGCATCTTTGCCTCATGTTCACCTAGTATGTTGTAAATTTCCCATGTCCTTTTTGCCTTTGGGCTCTGGTCGCCCATCTCAGGTAACCTATATCCTAGAAAGAGTTTGTCATAGTTTGTATTTGAGTCTTCGCTTATTGTTTGCATGACTCTTTCCTGAGTTTCCGGTTCAAGCTCTTCAAACAGAGCTTGTCCATATGGAATAAGCTCGTTTCCAAATATATGTTTTTGTAGCCATTCTGGTTTTCTTTCCATGTTACCAACTATATCTTTTGTGAATGGGAAAGCTTTTACCCAATCTTTCAGTCTTGCGTCATTTATTTCTGTAGTTGGTTTTATTTTGTCAAGGAACATGTTTTTCAATACTAACATTTCATTTGGTACTGTCCATTTGAGTTTTCTTAAATATTCATCCCTTCTCAGTTCATCGTCTGCAAAGTAAGTTTTTATGACATTTTGCAAACTTTCATTTGCAAGGTCATGTACAATAGGTTCTCTTCCTTCTCTCTCCCTAACTGTCTTTCTAAACTCTTCACCAAATATACCATCTCTATGGTTGTGTAGTTCTTTGAGATAAATGTTCTAGAACGTCAGGTGTTATATTTCCATCAGCCATGTTCATTTCATACTGGTCCAAAATATCTGCATGTTTCATATCTTTCAATGGCATTAAAGCCGCGCTTAAAATACCAGCTATATCTCGTTCACCATCACTTCCATTGCGTCTACAACTTCTTGGAATTGAGGTTGTAAGTTTATGAACCACCTATCCGGATTAGCTTTATGACCCCATCTCATTGTAGTTCCATAGTCTGCAGAAACAAAA